TATTTATTTATACAAGCACGGGGACAGTCAGAAGCACGGGAGGGTGAGAGAATTCACCAGAGCCAGAGTGGGGAACAGAACAGGCAGACAGACAGACGAAGTACACTGCTGAGGGGAGCAGCGGGCAAGGCAGGAGAGGTCTGCTGTGCCATGTGGGTAGCTCCCTGGCTGGGGATTGAACTTGTGCTGCAGTGGCTATGGACAGCTTCACAGGTTGCTGCATCTTTACCCCTTGCACCACCGGGGAGGCCCAAATAAATGTTAAAAAAAAAAAAAAAGATGTAAGATGTTCATCAGAGAGAAAACGATGAGAACATATGATAATTCTCAGTATTTTGTTTTGTTTTGTTTTTATAGCGGCATGTTTTATTTATTTATTTGTTTTGTTTGTTTGTTTGTTTTTTGTTTATACATGCACTGGGTACAGTCAGAAGCGCGGGAGGGTGAGAGAATTCACCAGAGCCAGAGCGGGGAGCAGAGCAGGCAGAAGGACCGAAGGACACTGCTGAGGGGAGCAGCGGGCGGCAGGAGAGATCTGCGTGCCAGGTGAGACCCTCCTCCGGTGGCCGGGGAGCAGCCGGGGATCGAACCAGCGCTGCAGAGGCCGCGGGCAGCTTTGCAACCCAGCGCTCAACCGCTGCGCCACAGGGGAGGCCCGATAATTCTCAGTATTATCCTTGCAACTTTTCTGTTAATCTAAGCTAAGCAAAAATAAAATGTTTACCTGAAAAACATGAGGGGAAAGGGATTTTAAGATATTTACAGTAAATAATACATTGTCATGTTTAATGTTCTTTGAGAAATGCAAATAAGGATCCAAACTCACCTTAATGACATTTGTCTTCCTGAACTATTTCTTTTAATGTTGCGCAGCTCCAAAGCTGGGCTTCTTGGGACCTGGGATTGGTCAGGTTCTAATGCCTAACCTTTGGAGAACACAAAAAGCACAACTTCCGGGGCCTCCTTGGTGGCCTAGGAGTTAAGTCTCAGCACTACCACCTCGAAGGCCCTCCACAACAGCCTGAGTTGGATCCCGGCCTGCCAGGGAGCTGCCCACATGACGCAGCAGACCTCTCCTGTCTTGCCTGCTGCTCCCCTCAGCAGTGGATTTCAGTAGATCTGGAAGCCAGGTAACTGTCAGGACAGTGAAGTGTCAGTGAAGCGCCTTTCAGAAGTGACTTCCTAGTCCACAAGCAAATTTGGAATTCCTTGAAAAGAGCTGCCAGCCCTGCGGCTCTGTTAGTTGACAAGTGCCTCAACTCTGACTAAGCCTCAATATGAAAAAAGATGAAAAGAAGAGCGACATTTGGCTCACAGGGACCTGGGAATTGGAACACCTGTGGAAAATTCTGGGGCCCCTTCGCCACATGCACATACAGTTTGGGCATTTTCCAAACCCACACTAATGCCAATGACTTCTTACTCTTCTGGGGTGCAAGTGTTAGGGGGAAATGATGTCCTGAGCTAATCCCATACAGGCTTTGTGGACCCCACCCCCACTCCAGACTAAAGCCATCAAGACATTGGGAAAGACAAATCCCATCACCACCAAAGGGAGGATGGCTGGGACCTGAGGGTGGAGTTGGGCAGCCAGGTTGGATATAAAAACCAAACACGTGGGCCTTGGGGGGGCTCGCTGTCGCTTGCTTCCTGGCTTCACAGCTCCTGGCTTGCGGCCAGCTCTCAGAGCGCCATTTTGGGATTCCTGCTCGGTGGATCAGGTAGGACTCACTCAAAACTTTATCTCCCACTTTTCTCCCTGAACTGTACATTTCCTCATTTCTCCTTCCCTTGTAAATAAACCTTTTATGAACCTTTCGCGTGTGCCTGCAGTAGAGCATTGATAAGTCCTTTTAAGGGCGCGGGTGAGGACCCACAGTCAGGCACCCCGTTTTGTATCGGGGTTGCTCTACAACAAGTAGACTGTGCAAACAGAACACAGCAGGCCTGGGAGTCCTTCTGCTGGCCAGGCCAACTATTGGCCAGTGTTGGAGAATTTGGATCTCAGGGGTGCCCCTACCATCCCCTAAATGATAAGAATGATTAATGGCACCTAAATGATTCTTACCAACAAGGGGCCTCATGTTGAATCCCCATTTGCTTCTGAGAATCTGAAATTTTGTATCTGCCAAAGTGCCTATGTACTGGCCCACAATAAAAACCTTGGGCACTGAATGTCTGGTGAGATTTGCAAGTCAACGATATTACATGTGTCACCACCTCTGGTTGCTGGAGGAGTAAGTGTGTCCTGTGTGACTTCACTGGGAGAGGACTCTCGGAAGCTCCAGCCTCCCTTCCTCTGCGCATCTCCCTGTGTGCCTTTCCCCTTTGCTGACTTGGCTTTGTGTCCTGAGGCTATGAGAAGCCATAATCTTGAGAACAGTTATGAGTCCCCCTAACAAATCATTGAATCTGAGAATGAACCTTGCAGTAGTACAAGGTTATCCTTAAAGCATGAGGATTTTTCTTGATTGAAACTATTGGGAGTGAGCTAAAGTGGGCAGAGCTGGGATATGAACTCAGGTGGATCTCCCTGAGTGGGAATGGCTCTCCCTGTACTCCTTTCCCCTTAGTGCTGGTGAACCAGTTTGGCAGGTCTAACAGCACCTAGGGTGAAATGGGAGGGAGGGAGGTGTGGATTCCAGTCATCTCCTGCCTTCTGTAGATAACCTCCCCACACCTTGCCCTGTGTTCCACTGCATCTGAGCCTGGCCACAGGCTTGTATTGTCTCCCTCCACCAACACCGGATGGATCCCCAGCCAGACAGGGGGCTACTCACATGGCCCAGCAGACCTCTCCTGTCTTGCCAATATTCTCCTGTCTCCCTCAATACTCATCCCTTGGGGGATGTTTCTGTGTTCAGCCAAGAGACAAAATAAAATTATTCATTTAAAAAATAAACTGGGCCTTCCCGGTGGCGCAGTGGTTGAGCGCTGGGTTGCGAAGCTGCCCGCAGCCTCTGCAGCGCCGGTTCAAGTTTCAATCCCCAGCCACCAGTGAGGGTCCCACATGGCGCACAGACCTCTCCTGCCACGCCCGCTGCTCCCCTCAGCAGTGTATTTCGTCGGTCTGCCTGTTCTGTTCCCCACTCTGTCTCTGATGAATTCTGTCACCCTCCTGTGCTTCTGACTGCACCCAGTGCTTTGTATAAATAAATAAATAAATCTTTAAAAAAATAAATAAAACATCTTCCTTCTTAGGAAGGCCTGCTTTGTATTTAAATAAATAAATAAATAAATAAATAAATAAATAAATAATAAACTGACGGGCCTCCCTGGTGGCACAGGCGGTTGAGCGCTGCACTGTGAAGCTGTCCGCAGCCTCTGCAGCATGGGTTTGATCCTGGCCTGCCGGGGAGAATCCCACATGGTGCGGCAGACCTCTCCTGTCTCGCCCGCTGTTCCCCTCAGCAGTGTGTTTCAGTCAGTCTGCCTGTTCTGTTCCCCACTCTGTCTCTGGTGAATCCTCTCACCCCCTGCACCTCTGGCCTGTACTCCAGCACTTGTATAAATAAAAAAAATAAAATAAACTGACATTGAGTTTGGTTGTTTCTCTAGCTATTGAAATCCCTGATAAAGAACTGATTGCCGGGCCTCCCCAGTGGCGCAGCGGTTGAGCGCTGGGTTGCGAAGCTGCCCGCAGCCTCTGCAGCGCCGGTTCGATCCCCGGCTGCTCCCCGACCACCGGAGGAGGGTCCTGCATGGCGCGCAGACCTCTCCTGGCGCCCACTGCTCCCCCCTCTGGCTCTGATGAATTCTCTCAACCTCCCCCGCTTCTGACTGTGCCCAGTGCTTGTATAAATAAATAAATAAATCTTAAAAAACAAAACAAAACTGATTGCCTTTTGTCCAAGCAATTCTGTCCTAAAAAGATTGTCTTAGTGGATTCAAAGGCCCCTCCCTGCCTTTACTGCAGAAAGAGTAGTGATTTGGAGGTAATTTTTTCAAGCTTCTCTTCTGTAAGAGAAGAGGGGGTGGGGGGAAAGCCCAGAGAAATATAATCCCTAGCAGGACACGCCATATACACCTAATTCAAATGACCTATATTGATCTAAAAAATAACACTCCCAGTATTTTATTGCAAAATGGGCTTATTCTGCAATAGCAGATGAACTGCAGTTAGGGACATTCACACCATGGCCAAGCCACAGGCCAGTCCAGAGGACAAAGGAGAGATGCTTGCTTACATGGACAAGAAGGTGCTAGAATAGACCTATCCCTGTTTGGAACTGCAAGGTTTGGGGCATAAAATGAAGGGAAGTCTGTGCAAAATGGTGAGCGAGGCCTGCGAGAGCGCCTCAGGTCACCCTGACTCCACTTTTAGCTGGGGTTTCCTGTGATTTTCACATCTGCTCTGGCTGATGTGCCAGAGTGTCACTCTGCTAGGGCTCCGTGACAAAGTGCCACAGACTGAAACACACTTCTGGAGGCTCTGAGTCCAAGATCAGGGTGTGGGCCAGTTTGGACTCTCCCGCAGACTCTCCCTGGATTACGGACGGACGACTCCTGCGAGCCGGCATCCCTGTGTCTCCTCCAAGTCCGTATTTCCTTCTTAAAAGAACAGTTCAGGGCCTCCCGGTGGCGCGAGGGGTTGAGCACGGCACTGGGAAGCTACCCGCAGCCTCTGCACCACGGGACGGCCCCCCAGCCAGGGGGGAGCTACCCACACGGCGCAGCAGACCCGTCCTGTCTCGCCGAGGGCGTCGGGTCAGACGCAGAGCGGCCAGCAGGCCCCGGTCCGCGGGGCAGGGGCGGGGCCTGGAGGTGGGGGCGGAGCCGGAGTGGGGTGGGGCGAGGCCTGCAGGGCGGGTGGGGCCTGAGGGCGGGGTGAGGCATGCGGGGGCGGGGCCTGCGGAGGGGCGGGGCCTGCGGGTGGAGGGGCCTGCGGTGGGGCGGGGCCTGGGAGTGGGGCGAGGTCCGCGGGGCGCGCGGGGCGGGCGGGGCGCGCGGGGCGGGCGGGGCTGGGGGCGGGGCCTGAGGGCGGGGCGGGCCTGCCCGCGCGGAGCGGCCGCGGGGCGGAAGATGGCTGCTGCGGCGGAGGCCGCGGACACTCAGCTGATGCTCGGGGTCGGGCTGATCGGTGAGGACGCGGGCGCCGAGCCCCGCTGGCCCGCTCCCCGGTGCCGCCTCCCCCTCGGCCTGGGCCCCGCCGCCGGGCGGGGAGGCGCGGCCGGCCCGCGTGGGGCTGGCGGGGCGCGCGGCCTGCGCGGCGGGACCGGCGGCCGTGGGGGAGGTGCCGGGGCGGGGGGCGGGGGGGCCTCGCGGCCTCCGGAGCCTCCCGGGCCCGGCGCGGGGCTCCCTGGGGCCCCCGGGGCCGCCCGGGGCCGGGCGCGGAGGGAGACGGCGCCGGGCGGCTGCGGGGGGCTGAGCGGCCCCGCGGGCCGGGGTCCCCCCGAGCGTCGGGGCGCCGCGCGGGGCCCCCGGGCGGCCTGGGTCGCGTGACCGCGGGCGGCGGCGGCGGCCGGTTCCGGCCCGGGTGCTGCTCCCGGGCCGCGGGCCTCTCCGCCTCCCCGGCCGGCGCCGCGGCTGTGCGGGTGTCGGGGTCCCGCCTGGCGGGGCGGGGGCCCGGGGGCGCCCTGCGCCGTTGGGGGGGGCGCGGGCCAGGCCTGGGGTCCCCCCTGCGCGTCCCCGAGCCGACGCCCGCCTGGAGAACCGCCGCGGCGCGGCCCGGGGAGGGTGTCTCCCTGGCCGCGGGTGGGCCCCGCTCGTTCCGGGGGATTCGGGGTGCTCAGGGCCATCGGGGACCCCTCGGGGGCCTCGCGTTTCAGGGTCTGGTGTGTGAGGAGCCGCTCGGGCCCGGGCTCGGGGCTGCTGGCTGCGGGTTCCCCGCGCGCCGCTGTCCTGGGGGTAGCGAGACCCTCACTTCAGGGTGCCTGGGTTTGGCTGAACGCGAGGAGTGCGCGGGGTATTTTTCAGTGCCTCAAAGAAGTGCGTTTATCAGGGAACCGCCTTCTCTGTGCATTTCTGACATTATTTTAAATCTGCTTCAAGGCAAAACTAAGTAGTTGGGCATCTTTTTTAAAAAAGATTTATTTATTTGTACAAGAACCGGGTACAGCCAGAGGCACAGAGGGTGAGAGGATTCACCAGAGACAGCAGGGAACAGGACAGGCAGACTGACTGAAACACACTGCTGAGGGGAGCAGCGGGTGAGACAGGAGAGGTCTGCTGCGCCATGTGGGTTGCTCCCTGGTGGAGGATCGAACTTGTGCTGCAGAGGATGCGGACAGCTCCCTAGGTTGCGTCTCAACCCCTTGCTCCACTAGGGAGGCCCCCTATCATAGAGCTTTTTACACAGGTGAGCTAAACCCCCCCTCATGAGAGCTAGTAATCTGAGCAGTCTCCATTGGTGGGAATTTGGGGCCTCCCATGCTCTGGGTTGATTTGTAAAAGGGGGTGTTAAAACTAGTTCCACTAAGTGTTTCTGAGTAACCAATCCATTCATGCCCTTGGCGCTGTTTGACATTCTCACAGTGACCATCTTTCCACCGTAGAAAAGGACACAAATGGAGAAGTTCTGTGGGTATGGTGTTACCCTTCCACGACAGCTACTCTAAGGAATCTGCTGCTGAGAAAGTGCTGCCTTACCCAGGAAAACAAACTCCTCCATCCCTTCGTCTTTGGTCAGTACAGAAGAACATGGTTTTATATCACAACAGTTGAGGTTCCAGATTCTTCAGTTTTGAAAAAGGTAGGACAGCATAAGATCAGAAAACCAGAACTATTTAAAGTGACATAAGGTTATTCCAGTAACTCTTAGCTTTAGACTTTAGCGTTCACAATACACCTTTGGAAAATATGAAAGGTACTTCTCATTGGGAATGATCTCTTTTACTTTTCACTCTCATTCAGTCTATAAATATTACTGATGTCCTTTAACCAATGCTGTTGTTGGTGGAGTGAGGCCTTTTTGAGGTTATACTGTGGAGTTGAAGTGTATAAGTAGTTTCAAAGCCATGATTGACTAAAAGTGGGAGGAAATATTTTTCCATAATTAAAAACCATTTTAGGGGGCCTCTTTGGTGGTGCAGGGGTTAAGTCTCAGAGCTATCAAGCTATGGCCAGCCACTGCGGCCTGAGTTTGATCCCCCGCCAGGGAGCTGACCCACATGGCGCAGCAGACCTCTCCCGTCTTGCCTGCTGCTCCCCTCGGCAGCGTATTTCAGTACATCTGCCTGTTATGCTCCCCACTCTGTCTCTGGTGAATCCCTTTACCCCCCCTCCACGCCTCTGGCCTACACCCCAGTTCTTGTATGCATAAATAAATAAAAATAAGTCTTTTTTTTTTTTTTTTTTAAACCCCACCATTTTAAAGTATATAATTATCCTTGGCACAGTTGAGAACAGCCATTTGTTTGTGGCTAATAAGACTACCTTAAGCATAGAGGGATAATTAAGGAAACTCATGTATTCAGTAGTTTGTATGTATCATTTGAGCTGAACCATACTGATGTGCCATGTTGAGAACCAGTATGTGGTCGTTGTAGACTTTCCTAATCCCAAACAACCAGCAGGTTTTTCAGAGAAAAGACTATTGGGAAGAAATGGCTGAGCTCCTGGCATGTACTTGGGTCAGGGCTTCTCCCTTTCCATGGCAATTTTTACAGCCAATCTATGAAGCATGTCCAAAATAACCAGTTTGAATTTAAGGAGATTCATTTGAAATAATAGGAAAGCAGTAATTTAGAGGTAGAAGTTTAAGACAAAACAGATTCATAATTAGAAAATGTAAATTAGCAAAAAGATAGGTTTCAATGTGTCAAAATCTCTGGTTAAAGAATAAGTTCTTGCAAAGAGTTCTTGATATATCTTCCAGAAAGTCTTGAGATATATATATATATATATATATATATATATATATAAAAACTAGATTTACCCGTGTTTTGCCCTCTTTACTGCCAAAGTATAGCAATGTCAATCTCAAGTCTCTTTTTCAGATTTGAAAAATAACAAGACTTAGAATTTTTAAAATGTATTTCTTATATGCTGGCCTTTTTATAGAGTTTTGATAATCAGGAATTTATAATAATAGAGATAAATTAATGGTTTGTTTTGGTCTTTTCCTTTACACTTATAACAATACTATACAGATTATATAGATTATATAGAGAATTGGCTATTTTGGGAATGAAATGATTTTCACAATATGAATTATATTAAGATATATTTTTGTTCTTTTCCATCCTATTTCATTAGTGAAAAATAATTTGCTAAATGGGGAGGTATGACATAGCAATCCTAGTTCTGGTTTTGATTAGGTTTGGGGACTTTAAATAAAAACACACATTTTTATATTTGACATGTCTTTGGAAAAATTTTCTAACCCTTAAACTTGTTTTTTTCAGTAGGAAATTAAATCTATATGTATTTATCTAAATATATATGTATTTTATGTGTGTGTTTATACATAAAGTATAAAGAAGCCAGTGAAGACTGTTACATTTTGATCTTTTCCTTAGAAAGTTAGTATGTCTTGTCTAAGAGGTTTATTGGAATATAGTGATTAAAAACTGATTCCATGAATGTGTCTTTAACGTGTGCTTTTTTGTTTCTTTTGGACAGGTGACTCATTTTTCTATTGTTCTCACCGCCAAAGATTTTAACCCAGAGAAATATGCCGCCTTCACTAGGATATTGTGTAGGTCGGTATGTATAAAAACCATATTAAATGCTAATATACAAAAATGAAGATCTTACTCAATAGTTAAACAGCAGATTTCTACACCAAGGAAGTCCAGTCAGCCCTCTGTTACCCCAGCGTAATCTGTACTGGCTATTTTCAGAGACTGTTTGATAAAGAGGAACTTTCTCCTCTTTTTCAATAACTGCTCCTCTTACTTGGGAAAATGGCAGAGGGGAGGAGAAAAGGCAGTTTGCACAACTGTTGTAGTTCCTGAGTATTTGGAGTCATTTGCCACTTTTGGTGTGTTATTTCTACTCACTTCCAATCTAGAGCTTTCCTTAGCTGTATGGATAAGTTCAGTGCTTCCAGAAGTAATGGGCTGGTTCATATATGTCAAGGTCTGTGTGTGGGAGTCATTTTGGGTAAAGTTAATGGGTATTTCAAGTTATGTTAAAGCACGGAAAAACTTTTCTTAGCTGGAACACTGACAAGCTGATTAGTTGGTTAATCGTGTCTCAAGTAGATTTGTTTCATCCCACTGTTGAAAAAAATTTGCCCAAGATATAGCAGACTGCTTGCTTGCACTGGTGAGTGTATCCAGTGGACTTCATGAAAGGTTTCTTATGTGTTAGGGACGTTGGCTTGTCTTTAACCAAGGCTCTTCGCAGTGTTTTAAGTTGGGTTTTGTTTGTTAACATTGTCAGTAGATAGAACTATAATTCTAGGTGTTATGTTTTATTCTCAGCCCTAAGGCTCATGCCCAATAAGTAGTTTTGGGTGGGGCGGGGATAGAGGGAGTTGTTTTCATTTCCTGCTCTGAGTGCACGCCTGCACAGCATGGTGGAGGAATACCCTCTCAGTCTCTAAGAGTTTCAATTAGGTTGTTATTTATTTATTTATTTATTTTTTTGGTGGGACCCCTGCTGGCAGCCGGCTGGGGAAGGAACCGGCGCTGCAGAGCCTCGCAGCCCAGCGCTCAACTGCTGCGCCACCAGGGGAGGCCCCTAGGTTGTATTTTAACAAAGCAAGGGCTTACTGTATTTGAAGCCTGCTGCAATAAGTAGACTTCTCATTCTCAGAAGATAACTTCCAGGTGTACGGCTTCCTTTGGAATATGAACAGTTGTGGGCCTCCCCAGTGGCGCAGCGGGTTGTGCACAGCGCTGTGAAGCTGTCCTGCAGCCTCTGCAGTGCGGGTTTGATTCTGGCCAGCCAGAGAGAATCCCACATGGCATGGCAGACCTCTCCTGTTGAGCCCGCTGTTCCCCTCAGCAGTGTATTTCGGTCGTCTGCCTGTTCTGCTCCCTGCTCTGTCTCTGGGAATCCTCTCACCCTCCTGAACTTCTGGCCTGTACCCCAGCTCTTGTGTAAAAATAAATAAATCTTTAAAAAAAGAAAGGAATAAGAACAGTTGTCTTGAATATAGGCCTGATACAAAGGGAGGTTGATTGTCCAGAAGCCAGAACTGAAAACACTGCAGAGGTGGTTTTTTTTTTTTTTTTTTAAGATTTATTTATTTATACAAGAACCGGGGTACAGGCCAGATGCATGGGAGGGTGAGAAGATTCACCAGTGCAGAGTGGGGAACAGAACAGGTAGACCACGAAATACACTGCTAAGGGGAGCAGCAGGCGAGACAGGAGAGGTCTGCTGCGCCATGTGGATTCTCCCCGGCTAGCTGCATTTGTACCCGTGCTGCAGAGGCTGCAGACGGCTTTACAGTGCTGTGCTCAGCCACCTGCACCACGAGGGAGGCCCTGCAGAGGTGTTTTTGAATAAACACTGGACTCCTGTGTCATTCGATTGACTTAGGGTTAGATTACGACTCTGAATTCACTGAATGTTCTGTGGCCCCAAAGTCAAGGTTGTTTTAGAGCCTGCTTCCTGCCCAGGTGGATGGCAGACAGTGTCTCGGCTCTGTGGTGCATCGGCCTGGGGGCATTGTGGATTCTTTTCTGCTGCAGTGAGAGAGAAATGAGGACTCAGCTGTGCCCAATACTCCTCTGCCTTCTGCCCCTATTGCACTCTTGTGCTTGCCTTGCATGTGCTCAGGCACACATGTGTGCACACACACTCACACCCCTACACGTGTCTACATGCACACCCATAGACCAAACACTTTGATGAGGAAGAGGAGGGTCCCATCCTCAAGTGGAGGCATACCCTTCCTTGCTGGTGGGAGAAGCAAGCAGGCATGCCCTCCCAGCATGCTGTGCACAGTGGCCGTGGCAGTCATGGGAGAGGAGTCTGTTTCCAGTGTCAGCTCCCCTGCAGCCAGTGGCCCTGGCAGAGAAGCAGGGTTTCATGCGCACTTGGAGTCAGTGGTCCAGGCCGGGTGTGGGTGTTGGTTGGAATCAGTCCTCTGAGCTGCCCTGTGTGATTTTTCTAGGGGGTGACTTGGGGCACTCCAGAGCTGTCACATGCCACCTTAATCCCGCACTCTCCTTAGGTTTCTCCACTACCTTGTATTGTTTCTATTTTATTTTTTTAAAGATTTATTTATTTATGCATACAAGAGCTGGGGTACAGGCCAGATGTGGGCATGGGGGGTGAGAGGATTCACCAGAGACAGAGTGGGGAGCAGAACAGGCAGACCAACCGAAGTACACTGCTGAGGGGAGTAGCAGGCAAGTCAGGAGAGGTCTGCTCGCCATGTGGGTCAGCTTCCTGGCCTGCTGGGGATCGAACTCATGCTGCAGAGGCGGCAGATTGCTTCATAGTGCAGTGCTTAACCCCTTGCACCACCAGAGGCCCTCTATTTTTATTTATTTGTTTGTTTGTTTATTTATTTATTTATTTATTTTTAAAAGTTGAGGACCATTCTCAGAATCAGGGACATTTGAATAAATTTTTTTTAAAAGGTTTATTTTTTATTTATTTATACAAGCACTGGGTACAGTCAGAAGTGCGGGAGGGTGAGAGAATTCACCGGAGCCAGAGCGGGGAGCAGAGCAGGCAGAAGGACCGAAGTACACAGCTGAGGGGAGCAGCGGGTGGCAGGAGAGGTCTGCGCGCCATGTGGGACCCTCCTTCCGTGGCCGGGGAGCAGCTGGGGATCGAACCGGTGCTGCAGAGGCTGCCGGCAGCTTCGCAACCCAGCACTCAACCGCTGTGCCACCGGGGAGGCCCCTTCTATTTTATTTTTAATGGGGTTTTCAATTTTTGTTGGTAGTGATAATGTAAGCCCATAATAAAAATATACAAACTGCAGAAGGGTGGGGTGAGTAACTAGTGAAAATTAAGTCCCTTCTTCCCCATCCTCCAGCTCGGCTAACCCTCCCTGAGGCAGCTCCTGGGCCTGTTTTCTTTATATTCTGTTGGAGATGTTTTCTCAGTATATAAACACATATGAGTTCATGGCTCTGCCTGTTTTTATTTATATATGTATATGAAATGCATATATAAATATGTATAGCTCATAGCTTACCACGTTCATTGTTCCCTACATTTTTTTTTTTCTCAATTTGTGCATTGAAATAACTTAAAAGCACTAATGATTGACATTTGGTAAGCTGCTAAAACACTTGGTTTTTTTCCCCACTCTACAATAAATATAATTTTCAAGCAATTTATTTTTATTAGTCCCAATTTCCTAGCCCGTCAGCTAAGTAGGTCCAGTTGTGCTTCTCAAGCAAAATTTAGATTTAGTTACACACAGGAAGCACTCGCAGGGGAAGGGACTGATAACCCATGTGAGCTGTAAATGCTGCCAGTTGCCTGTCAGCATTTTCTGGAAGTTTTAACTTGATGATGAATGTAGCTAGTATGCAAGTATCATGAAGAACTAAGGGAGTTTGATTTCCTAGTTATCTAAATATAGCCACCTCTGGGAACTCTGATAATAAATATAGGTTCTACAACTAATTACTGTCTTCTCTGTGAACAATGCATAAACTCCTTTTTTGTCAAAGGAAATCCTAGCAAGAAAGCAGAATTGTTATGACTAAGAGCACCAGTTGTGAATGTAAGAATAAAAAGAGCTAAGTATACTGTACTCTTCAGAATGATGAGGCTTCAGAAAGTCTGCAGTTCATTCCCTTGCCCAGCCAGCACCACAGGCTTCCCCAGTCGTAAGGAGAGCGCTGACGTCAGAGAATCTCTGAAGTCCTCTCAAGTGTTATTTTTTTTAAAAACACATTTTCAAGTTAAACTGTAGAGATAATCATGTCAAGAAAAGATTTCAGGCATTCTGGGGCGAGTTAGCAAGTTGGCATAGATGCTTTACAAAGTACCCGTGCCTAACCTTGGTGCATCTCTTTGCGTGGTTCATGCAAAATAAAAGCAGGGTTGCTTTTTGACCTTCCTTACAGAATGTACCTGAAACATGGGAGCCCAGTTAAGATGATGGAGAGTTATATTGCTGTTCTCACAAAGGGGATATGCCAGAGTGAGGAAAACGGCTCTTTCCTCAGCAAGGATTTTGATGCCCGAAAGGCATACCTGGCAGGCTCCATCAAAGGTAAAAAATAATAACCATAACAATAATGTGAAACAGAAGCAGCAAAAATCCATCCCAGGGGATTCCATTCAACCACAAACTCCCCAACCCAGGGTAGTGTCTCAGTGACTCTGATGTTCCATGTCTTGTCATTATTTCCACCTCCGTTGTGTTTCTTTCCCATACAGGAGGTAATTCAGCTACTACATTCCCTTATCTGGTTCAACTTGTGCCCCAGGAAAGCAGATTTTTGTGCTGTTTTTTCCCATATGATTCTGCTTTTATGTGGAAATGTTCTTTTACCAGTGAGGTGATGTGGTGGCTCGAGGTCTACTGACTCCCACAGTGTTTCTTTCTGTAGATCTTAGCAGTTACTTCTTCCCTTGGTCAAGCTCAAGCCCCTGAGCCATTGTTCCTAATTTCCTCATTCAACAACCCCTCCACTCCACACACAATCTGTCTCTCTCTCTGTCTCTGTCTGTCTGTCTGTCTATCTGTCTCTCTCACTCACACACACATGCACACACACACACACACTTTTCTTTCCTGACTGGAAGGTCCAGGATGGCAGAGACAGCCCGTGGCTGAGCCACAGACCTCAGGGCCCTTAAAAGGGAGGAGAGGGGAACTGGGGCGACGCTGACCTCCGTTCTTGGCCTCCTGGTGCCTGCCTGTCTTCACTCATGACCCCACTGGACTGTGGTTTCTAAGCAGCCCTCTTGAAGGGTTAGGTGTTTGTCAAGCTGCCGGAAAAGGACTTGAGAAATCTTCATGACACCGAGAGGTGCTGGTCCCCCTTCAGGTCATTTATTCCTCTCTTGTGAGTCTGGCTTCATCCATGTGTGCAGCCCAGTCCTTTGGGCTAAAGGCATGGGCAGCTGAATGGCACCTGTGGGGGCAGATACATGGATTTGCAGGCCCACCCACCCAGCAACTAAGTTGCTTCTGTGCTAACAACATTGACGTAAGCCTATTTGTTCTCTGAAGTAAATAATTTTGCATTCACATGAAAAACATTTTTTGTGATTGAAAAATGCATTTCCTCTTTTCACATTTAATGCAGTAACATTATCATTTCTTTTGTTTTAAGACATTGTAGCTCAGTTTGGAATGGAAACTGTTATCTTACATACAGCACTGATGTTGAAGAAAAGAATTGTGGTCTATCACCCCAAAATAGAAGCTGTCCAGGAGTTTACAAGGTGCGATCTCTAATCATTGAAAACTGAACTTTGTCAGCAGCCGGGGCGGGGGAGGGGAGGCTCGATGTTGCAGGGCACCCCTCTGGTATAAGTGGAATGTGGAGCCTGGGGGTGAGATCCCATTTTGGTCCGGTGTTTTGATTTACATTTAGTAGTCCAAGGTTACTAAATGTGGACAGATTTTTCTTTAAATTTAGAAATACAGATATTTTTGAGCAGGAAGTAGGCCAACTTTTCCTTGCCAGAAAGTACTACTTAAGCTCGTAGCCCAGCTGCTTGCCTGCCATGGTCACATCCCGGCAACCCCGGACAGGGTATCTGGGGGTGAGAAATGTGTCTGTGTTTCAGTAAATCCTTGGGTGCAATGACAGGCCCTGACCCTGGAGTCACAGTATCTTTACCCCCATCTTGGGTTCATTGTTCCTTCTGTTCAATTTGACCACAGGCTCTCTCTTACTAAAAATCAATGTCTCTGGGTTTTTTTTTTCCTTTGCCAAATCTACCTTGTTCTTAGATTCTTTTGTAAAAGTGAGGTGGGAGGGGCTAGCATTTGTTCCATTTCTGTAAGCCAAGAATTGTATAAATCATCTTAAATGATTACATTTTCCCATGATGACACCCTGATAGGAAGTGTTATTACCCTGTTTTACGGAAGAGAAAATTGCACTCAGAGAGGCTAATGGCTAGAGAATGGAAGGGTCAGGGCTTGGTTGTCAGAGGCACCAGTTAAAATCTTGGGAGGGAGCCTCTTTGCTCCATGACTGTAGAGATGATTCTGGATGTCTCTGAGCCTCAGTTTCTTGATCTGTAACAGATACTATCTGCCGCCCGAGCTTGGAAATCATGTCTATAAAGTGCTTGTCAGGGATGTGCCCTGCCCGCTCAGAGCCTGCACCTTAAAATGAGCACTGCTGGTCAGGATGGCCTCAGATCTTCAGTGAGGAGGCCAGAATTTTTACCCTACTCCCTCCGACTCCACATTTATGCTTCCTTTGCATTTATGCTTCTGAAACTGGCGTATATAGCTTCAGATAGGTAGCAGGATTCCAGGGGTTCACAAAGCCACAGATCAGTTCGGCATATCTTCTCATAGTGGCTGTGCAGAGGTCGTGTGTGTGTGTGTGTGTGTGTGTGTGTGTGTGTGTGTGTGTGTGTGCGCGTTTTAAGGAAAACTGTTTTGCATAAAAACAAACAATGGTTTGTAAGTTGGACTGGAATTTTAAATATTAACAAAAAACTTCAAAGGATTTCTCTGCAGAGGGAGGGAGGGAGGGAGGGTTTGGAACAAACACTCCTTGCTACCTTGGGATCTTTTGAAACACCACCTCGAATTTTCTGTAGCTGACCTGACCCAAAAAACAGTTTAGAATATTAATGTGAAGCCTGGAGGGTCTGGCATGTTTGGAGGTTGGCCCTCCTCTGCCTCCGAGAGCTCTGGGACTCTGCCTCTTTTCTTCCAGGGGATGGGGGAGAGGGAAGCGGGTGGGCTGAGGGTCTGCGGTGCACCCAGCAGTCACCCGAGTTCTTGCCTTGGCTCCCCAGGACGCTGCCCGCCCTGGTGTGGCACCGACAGGACTGGACCATCCTCCACTCCTACGTGCACCTCAGCAACGACGAGCTGGATGCCCTGCAGACGTGCACAGGTAGACCCGGTGCAGGGAGGGCCTTTACACAGGGTGTCCTTGAGTTTGTTTTTTCTTTTTTTCCCCCAAAAGATTTATTTATTTTTTCAAAGATTTATTTATTTATTTATTTAAAAGATTTATATATTTATTTATTTATTTATTTGTACAAGTACTGGGTACAGTCAGAAGCACGGGAGGGTGAGAGAATTCACCAGAGCCAGAGTGGGGAACAGAACAAGAAGACTGACAAAATGCACTGCTGAGGGGAGCAACCGGTGTGGCAGGGGAGGTCTGTGCGCCTTGTGGGACCCTCGCCGGCAGCCGGGGATTGAACTGGCGCTGCAGAGGCAGCTTCGCAACCCAGTGCTCAACTGCTGCGCCACGGGGAAGGTCCTCAAAGATTTATTTATGCATACAAGAGCTGGGGTGTAGGCCAGAGGTGCTGGGGGGTGAGAGGACTCACGAGACAGAGCAGGGAGCAGAACAGGCAGATCCACTGAAATCCACTGCTTAGGGGAGCAGCAGGCGAGACAGGAGAGGTCTGCTGCGCCATGCGGGTCACCTCCCTGGCCAGGGATCGAACTCATACTGCAGTGGCTGATGATAGCTTGATAGCGCTGTCTTTAAACCCTGTGCTACTAGGGAGGCCCTATTATGCCCTTTATACTGTCACAGTCTTAAAGGGTCCTTTCATAAAATGAAAGATGCTAGGGGCTTCTAGATGGTAGAGGCTGCAGTCATGGCTTTTTTCACATTATGAAAAATTTTTTACGTAAAACAATAGGTAATATTTATGCAAGTTAAAACAAAAGGCGCACCCCTGGATGCCCCAGTCTGTCCTGACCCCCACAACAGGGCTCTAAGCACATGTTTGATTTCAGCCTCCCTCCTCGGCACTGAGAGCTGGTTTGGCATACTTTGAGTTGTGTGGGTTTCTTCAGGCAATGACAATAGTGTGGTCTTCGTAAATGCCACAGGTGCAGCCCATGGGCCTGGGGACAGAAGGCAGTGAAGAGCCACAGCTGGAGAGGGGCTTTTAGTCACTTCTCTCGGCACATGCTCAGGGGGCGCCTTCCTGCTCCAGCAGCATGAGTCCTCTTTGTGATGCAGGTTACATCGCTGGATTTGTGGACCCGGAGGTGGTCAATAGGTCGGACCTCTATGACGTGTTTGTGAACCTGGCAGAGAGCGAGATTACCATCGCCCCACGTGCGAAAGGTTGGTCCTCTGTCCCTTCCTGTTCTTGATGCCAGATATAAGCTAAGCAATTGCACTTTTAGGCTGATTCTCTACAACCAACATTTGCAGGTGGGCTTAACCTGCTGTGCTAAAGCTGAGGGAGTTTCCTAGGTTGAGGACATAGCATCTCACAGACCGAGCCGTGTTCGTGATGCGGCCCAGTATGGGACTCCACAGTGATGTTAATAAGGCGAATGGCCCAATCATCTTTTTTTTTTTAATTTATTTATTGATGCATACAAGAACTGCAGGGGGTGAAGGGATTCACTGGAGACAGAGTGGGGAACAGAATAGGCAGACTGTGAAATACTCTGCTGAGGGAGCAGTGGGTGAGTCAGGAGAGGTCTGCTGCGCCCTGTGGGTAGCTCCCTGTGGCTGGCCGGGGATCGAATTCGTGCTGCAGTGGCTGTGGACAGCTTCACAGTGCTGTGCTTTACCCCTTGTGCCACCAAGGAGGCCCCCCAGTCATCTTGTCTCCATTTTCCTGATTAAAAAAGATGTCTATTGCTGCCTAACACATCACTTCTAAACATAGCGGCTTATACCAAATATTTCTCACTACAGAGAGGGACCACAGTCCCTTTTATGACTAGCCTTAGAAGTCACACACCACTACTTCCTCCATTACACACCACTACTTCCTCCATTAAGTCCAGGCCACATTTAAGGGGGAGTAAGTAGGCTCCCCCACCTTGAAGGAAGGAGTGCCAGAGTGTGTAGCCATTTATCACTACACGGGTTGGGTGCGACTCCCTGGGAACAGTCTTTTTGAAGGATATCTTGGTGAGCACAAGAGGATAAAAGTATTGGGCTAAAGATCAGAAGAGGGTGTTCTAATGTCATCCCAGCACTTTAAGTTGTCCTAAGTTACAGCTGTATGAAGGGAAATGAGTGGGTTAAATGTGGGTGAGCCCAAGACACTACCAGGTGCTGGCTGTGGCGGGAGCTACCGACAGCATCTTCTGTGTTCTTTCTCCTAAAATTGGAAGCAGCTGGATGCTGGTTAACAGAGACTTTGTTAGCTGGTTTCTTCTGATCACGTGAGGTTTACCTAACACCTTCAAATTAAAAGAACCAGAACTAGTTTCCTTTTCATTGTTTTAAAATTACAAATATAATACATGCTCCTGACAAAAAATTCAAAACAGTACCAGACCTTTCGGAGATCCTGCCTTTGGTAAAGCAAAAGTGTGGTAGACCAGCCACTGGTGCCCTTAAATTGATGAAGTGCTGGCACTAGAAAGGGGGGGCTGTCCCTCTGCTGCATCTGCTGCTGAGTCTGTAAAATGGGCTCCTCATTTCAAATGGGTTTTGTCCCTCGCAGTGATACTGCTGTTAATGTCCTGGTCACAGAAAAAAGCCAGGTATACAATCCATGTGACACACGTGATTTCCTTTGCTCCTTCTGAGGGGGCCCTTGTGCACAGCTGACCCTGCAGAGCTGAGCTGACAGGAAGTACTGCTTTCACAGTATCCCTGCTGGAAAGATAAACTTGAATTCTTTTTTTTTTTATTTTTTTTATTTTTGCATAGAAGAACTGGGGTGTAGGTCAGAGGTGCGGGGCGTAAGGGGAGTAGCGGATGAGACAGGAGAGGTCTGCTGCACCATATGCCATATGTGGGTTAACTCTCTGAGCTGGGATCGAACTCAGGCCCTTTCAACGATAGCGCTGAGTCTTAACCCCTAGGCCACCAGGGAGGCCCCGATAAACTTAAATTCTTAACAGTAAAGACCTGGCTAGGAAAGTCAGGCTTAGTTTAAAATCACAAATCACTCGAGTCCTAAATCTTTGCTAGGTTTTGTCCAGAAAGAAAAATAAAAATTCTTACCAAGTGCATGTAAAGGAGAAACTTGGTTTTTAGTATTGGTATATTTTTATTTTGGATATGAAGTATATATTTTGGATAGGAAGGCTGAGTATTCCTTACCTCCTGGCCTGTTTTGTCCTATATTTTTCTTTCACAATAAAATGGCAATGTGGGGGGAAGGGTATTGGTTGCTTTCTGAAAATGCCCTCGTCTGTATGATTTTTCAAGTTTTCAAATCAGATGGCATAATGCTTTTTCATTATGTAAACTTCTAAATATTCACACAACTCCTTTACCAGAGACCATGACCATGGGCAAGCTACACAAAGAAATCGGCCAGTTAATCGTTCAGTCTGCAGAAGACCCAGAGAAGTCCGACAGCCAAGTGATACAGGTAACGCCTGGTCCTCCTACTTCTGCATCCTGACCCAGTGCTGCTGGTGCTGAGCCACAGAGCAGCTTGAACTCTGGGTACATATGGGCAGAAGTGACTGGGAAGTGACCAGGGGAGGCTGGTGGCAGGCACTCAGATGAGGGTGTGCAGAAGGCCCTGGGGCATAGTAGCCGTAGGGGCTGCCGTGGCCCCCAGCCCCTAGACTCCATGCTCAGGGCTGATGCCAGACTGGTCACTTGCAGTGAGATAGGCCACTGGGCCCTGGAGATGGATCATGGTGACAGCGGCACAGCATGCGAATGTACTTAATGCTACTGAACTGGATGCTTGGAAATGACTGAAGTGGCCAAAAACAACTACTTGTGATGGTGACTTTGCTAAATTCAGTTTTTTCATATTTCTTAATTTATGAACAAAGTCACTGATAAACTTTAAAAAATAAGCAGAATTCCATCCTAGTGCAGTCATTCAGATTTGTTGATACTAACACATTGTATATTTTCCTGTTCTATTAAAGGATATTTCCCTAAAAACAAAAGAAATCTTCACCAACCTGGCACCATTTTCAGAAGCTTCTGGTGAGGGAGAAAAGCTGGTACTCAATTTGGAGGCCCTAAAGCAGAGACGATTCCCGCCAGCCACAGAGAACTTCCTTTACCACCTGGCAGCAGCTGAACAAATGCTGAAGCTCTGATGGGGACCGAACGAGGCACTGGTGACCGACAGTGCTCACCATGATTACCCACTAACTATGTAAAATGCTGAAAATAACAGAGAAAATGGTCTATTTTTAATGATTTATTTGAAAGTATTGAGATTTGACCTAAAAAAAAGCACTGAAACGTGAAAACACTTTCTCCCGTCTGGTTAGTTGCCTGCCTTGGTCAGGACCACGTGATGTAACACCTAGACGTGAGAGCACAACATGGCCCAATGTCCTGCAGTGAGAAAGTTCTGTGCAATCCCAGAAAATTCAGATGCCTTCATTATTCTAAGTTCTAGTTTGTCTTTGTATAGCCACAAACCTAATGGTTTATTTTCAGAAAGCTGCCTGAAATTTTGCTTTGTATTCTTCTAGGAAGAACTCAAATTCCTCATGAGGAAACTCTACCTTCTGAGCCAAACTACTAAGTTTTCTGCAGAACTGTCTAGAAGATCATTCAAAAGACCCTGCAGTTGCACTTTCTTGTAAAAGAAATTTTTTTTCTTGGCCTTTGAACATTTTGCCTATAGTACGGAGGTTTTGCACAGATTTTATACTCAAGTAGACAACTTTAATCATATTTATACCGACAGAGATAAGCACTTGGCAAATTTAAGCCATAAGTACTTCAGTTTACCCTGTTGCTAGCAATATTCTTTTGGAAAGATGCAATCCTTGTATGGTGGAATAAAATAAATAACTGGAATATAATGGGCTTAATGACAAACAGCAGCTTTTTTAAATTAGTAAGGGAATGGAATCATTAACTTCCTGCAAGGGCTAAACCAGTGTCTTCAAACAACTTCAGTAAAAGTAATTTGGCCACATATGATCTTGTTTAGCTATCTACCTTCTTAAAAACTGGAGAACCTAAAACTTAGAAAAGCAGCACGGGAGTCTAAATTATGTATTTGTGATTTGGGCTTATATATTCATATTGATTATGAGGTTAGTTTTCACTAGCTCTGTTGCACTTCCTTACCCAGAAAAATGTCTGCAAATAACTTGTCTTTATTGGACTCCGATTGTTTATTCTTGGTGTTAGACATGGGTTAAGTAAAAATAAAAAAGGGCCTTGTTCCCTCCTTGGGTTAGGGAAGGATCTGAAATGAGGTTGTTTTCCTGAGGCAAATGATTAAATCTGCACTTTATGAAAATGAATACTAACATCTTTTCCCCCCTCTTTTGTATTGTATTAGCTAATGATCAAAGTTGTTAAGATTACAAACTTATAATGCAGAAATAAAGTGGAAATATTTTGATACGCAACAAAGTTTTAGGGAGATGAAGTAATTCTCCCCACTCTAAACAAAAGAAAAAACCGTTTTTGTGAACTGCAAACATGCAGTTACATGGGTAAGAAAAAAGACCTATTTGCAAGTGAAAGGGTGGGGTTCAGGATCCTTCCCCCCACTGCCCTACCTGTCCCCATATCCTTAGGTATCTCCTTCAAAAAGATGCCTCACACTTCTACTGTCACCTATCAGAGGCTAAACCTCCCCCCAGTCTTTGCAAATTTTAATTTTGTTTAGCATAAGCCTGAGGCTATACTGAGCCAGCTGGCAGACCATTTCCACTGAGTTTGTGCTTGGCTATTATGAGACCCCTTTCACCATGTTTGGAAGTAACCATCATTCTTGCCTAGTGAAAACTGAAAGGCCCTGATAGTCTGATGATTTGGGGCAGGGTATGTTGGAAGCATCCTCCAGTCCACAGGTGCTCGGGACCTCGCCAGGCGAGGCGTGTTGTATCCTGGGACTTCCGTGATGCATGGCTTAGGGGGCAGCAAACAAGCCATTGTGGTGAGGCAAGTGCTGTGGGAGCAGACAGAAGGGGCACCTGAGTCAGGACTGTGAATCCTGGAAGCTTCCTGGAGGGAGTGACTGGAGTCACACAGGAAGCTTAAGCAGGAAGTATCCCAGAGAGGGAATAGCTAGTGTGAAGGCCTGGAGTGACCACTGCTCATTTGAGGAACTGGATGTTGGTCCAGAATGAGGAAAGAGTGGCAAGCGATGTGTGTAATAAAAGGCTCCTGCCTGCCATGGCAAGGAATGTGGATTTGATCCCCACGCCCTGGGAAGCCATTTGGAACAGATGCGATATTAAAGAGCTGATGGGAGCATGGCTGGGAGGGAGCTAGACCTGAGAGAAATGAGTGATGCCAGCAGGGGGCACTGTTGGACTAAGCTTGGGGAGTAGTGGGCCCTAGAAGGGTGAGCTTGAAACCCTCACACCACTGGTCTAGGGCTGCGGAGGGGCTTAAGAAAGGGTGGCCGGCTTGGCCAGAGCCATTTCCGGAGATTGGGAGGTAGAGATGGCTTCATCTAAGTGGCAAAGAGCAGGCAGCAGGGGGATGTGGGCCTGTCGCTCAGGGCGGGGCAGGCCCAAAGGGTGTCTAAGCAGCCAGCAGTGGCAGCCCAGTGAGTGGCAGGGCACAGGTGAGAACAATCCTGGGGTGGACACTGCAGGGCAGACAATTCTCTGACAGGCTGCCTACAAAGGGAGGGGGCTGCTTTTTCATCAATCAAGCAGTTTCAACGCGACAGGAGAGGGGTGGCTGGAGTCTGGAGATCCAACAGAGCCAGGCCGAGGAAATAGGAAGGGATGGGCCAAGTCCAGGGCACCTTCGACCTCCCTGGAGGAGGGAAGGGTGGGTGTGGGCGGAGGAAGGCGCCACTGCTGGCAGGCAGCCTGGGATTTCATGGCGGTGGCTTCCAGTGACACAGAGGAGCTGGATGGCCTGGAGCAAAGAGTTTAAGTAGTTGCTCAGGAGAGGAATAAGCTGGGTAGCAAGGGAGGTTGGCTTTGCGGCTAGAGGCCACCAGAGGTTCCTGTTTATCTTGAGATGGGCCATCTATTTGATGCCTGTGTCCTGAGCACCCTCCTTTAATTTTTCAAATGTTCCACTTTACACAAGTTTAATAGTAACCTCTCAGTACCCTTCAGAGGCCCTGGACAACTGCTGCTGAGTCAGCTGCCCCCATGCATGGGCCAGACTAGATAGCTTCATTTCTGCTTTCCTCCAGATCCCACCAGCCTTGACACCATCTGGGAGGTGGAACTGCAGGTACCTCTGGGGTTTCTAGGAGACCTGGCGGAGTTCTCAAAAAAAAGCCTTGAGGAGAGGAAGGTTTTCAAGCGGGAGCTGAATGAACTCCCCTGAACCCCCCTACACCCCTCTGTTGTAGAAGAGCTCTGTTTCTTCTGTGGCAGCCTGGATTTCCTTCTCAAGCTGACTGCACTGTATCTGAAAGACAAAGCCAAGTTCTTAATATTTATAGTAACTTTTCTTGCCTTAGAGGCTAGTTAAAAACAAACATTCCAGAATGTATTTCACAGCTCAACTTTTTTAGTGATATCTAATCTATAGCAAAAATAATGTAACCCAGCTTCTTAACAACTTTCTGGTGGAAAATTTCAAACATAAACAAATGCTGATGAGTGGGATGAACCTTCAGGTACTCACAGCTCAGCTTTAACTGCTAACAATCTGCCAGCCTCCTTTTATCAAGTGCCTCCCACACCCAGGTGAGGAGGCTTTTCCCAAGTATTTTAAGGCAATTCTCAGGTGTATCATTGCTCCTACGAATGCTTCAGTATGGACTTCCAAGCGATAAAGTCTTTGTTATGTAATGACTAGGCTGTTATCACACCAAACCCAATGAACAAGAATCCCTGAGACCCAGCCACATTTCCATCCAGCAAACCTGCCAGGGTCCTCTGCCCATCCCTGTCGCTGCTTGTTCAAATTCATTCCATTTCCAAAGGCTACCTCTGCCACGCAGCCTTCCTGGATCGGCTGACAATCCTTTCCATCTCCCCATGTTTACTTTCAATCATGCAACAATCATCTCCACACGTGCTACATTACCCTTCTCACAAGTCTTTGCCTGCAGCAGAGACTTCCATCTGTCCTGCCATCTGTCCTTCCACAGCAGCAGAATGCTAAACAGATCTTGAATTAAGACCTCATTTCCCAGTCTCCTTTGCAGTATGGCTTGGTCACATAACTGAGTTCTGGCCAATATGAATATGATGGGAGCAGAAGAGCTGCACAGCCTCCTGGGATGAGAATGGCGCCATCTTGGACTTGGAAGTTCAGGGTCAAGCCCCAGGCATGGTGTGCGGAGATCAAGGAATCAAGGGCCTGTGGCACACGGCTGCCTTGCCCAGACTGGCCACCTCACTCTCTATGTGAATGAGAAACACATTTCTACCTTGTTTTTTAATTTTTTTTTTTTTTACAGATTTATTAATACGAGCACTGGGTACAGTCAGAAGCGCAGGAGGGTGACAGAATTCACCAGAGCCAGAGCAGAAAGCAGAACAGACTGACTGAAGAAATACACTGCCGAGGGGAGCAGTGGGGGGGCAGGAGAGGTCTGCGCGCCATGTGGGACCCTCACCCGGTGGCCGGGGATCAAACCGGTGCTGCAGAGGCTGGGAGCAGCCTTGCAACCCAGCGCTCAACCGCTGCGCCACCGGGGAGGCCCTCTACCTTGTTCAAGGCACTCTTTGGATCTTACTTACAGCCAAATGTAATCCTAGTTATCAGAGCCCTTCCTTCCAGTATTCTCTGTCCTGAGCCAGGAACATGGCGGATGCTGTTCTCACTTTCACCCCCAGTATGAACACTCACAGCTCCGACCTTGCAACGCAAGCGTTTCTAACATGAAGATGGTCCAGTTGGACCACCCCTAGGTTTCTCAAGAGTTGAGCTCAAGATGCCTTTCTCAAGTATGCAGATTATTTTCAGCTGAGAACAATGAAGGTCCTGAAAGATTAAGGACCAAACCTGCTTCCCTTAATCCTTTTGCCTTCCCCTAATCCAGGAAGAAGGGATCTCTGCTCCCCAAGAGTCCTTCCCCCAACTAAGGAGGACACCATGGCCACACCCTCAGCCCCCCTCCCCTGCGTGGTTCCCTCCCCTTCCCTGGTGTCCCAGGGCCTTTACGCCATTCTTCAGTTCAGGATATAAATCCCACTCTGACAAGAAGGGCAGGACTTGAACAATCATTACTGTTTCTCCTGTGACTTGTGATTAAATTGATTTTTCCTCTACTAAACCATTTGATGCTGCTTTTATTACTAGGCCAGCCCAAGAACCCAGAGGGTGGGGCATTTCCTCCCATGCCCCACCACCCACCACCATGGACCTACCCAGAGCTGACAATCATCTCCAATTAGTGGCCTCCCAACTGCCCTCCTGACCTCCAGGATCACCCCCATCTACAATGCAGGGACAAGGAGCCGAATTTCTCAAATGCAACTGGACTAAGCCAATCCCCCCCCCCCGCCCCCCGTAGGGTAAGGTAAAAGTATCAGGCTTTTCTGCCCTCCCGCCATTAGGATAGATGAGGGAACCCTGTGGTCCTGAATGCATGCCTGATGGCGGCACCTGGAGTAGGGTGTGGGCATAGGGAGATGGGATTCACCTGGGCTAAGACTGGGCTTTTAAGGGCGGCGTCATGAGGACGCCCGCAGAAGCCGAGAGAAGAGAAGCAGCAGGAGCAGAGAAGCAGAGCCATGAGAAGAGCAGAGAGAACATGAGAGAAGGCCGGAGAGCCCAGAGTGAAGACTTGCTGGGGGCTGGGAGGCCTGCCAGCCTCCCGGCCCCCCAGCACTCCTGCCTGCCGTGTGCCTGGTAATCCCAATAAAAGCCTGCAAAAGCCACTGAGGACTCCAGGACTCTTTCCTCCTTTACCCCATCCACATGGGATCAGAGAAAACCTGCACTGTGGCCCATTCCTACCCTTACACCACCCCCCCAATCCCCACTGAAACATCTCCCTTGCTGCCACCACAATAAGGTTCTAGCAACTCCTGGGGTTTTGAAAGGGGTGTCAGCATCTGGCCAGAGCCCAGGCCTTTAGCCAGGCACACCCCACCCTGCCACCCCTAGCTGAATAACCTATGGGGCAGTCCCCTATTTCCCCTGACCTCGGCTCCTTCACGACCCCGTCTTGGCATTTATTTTTTTGTTTTTTGGTGGGCCCCTCGCTGGCGGCCGGGGAATGAACCTGCGCTGCAGAGGCTGCGGGCAGCCTCGCAGCCCAGCGCTCAACCGCTGCGCCACCAGGGGAGGCCCTGTCCTGGCATCTTTCTTTCTTTCTTTTTTTTTTAAATGATATTTTTTTATTCATTTGTTTGTTTGTTTGTTTATACGTGCACTGGGTACAGTCAGAAGCGCGGGAGGGTGAGAGAATTCACCAGAGCCAGAGCGGGGAGCAGAGCAGGCAGAAGGACCGAAGTACACTGCTGAGGGGAGCAGCGGGCGGCAGGAGAGGTCTGCGCGCCATGTGGGACCCTCCTCCGGTGGCCTGTGAGCAGCCGGGGATCGCGGCTGTGCTCCTTCCCGGCCGTGCCAGGATTCCTGGGCTTGCGGCTCAGGCAGACACCAGGCCCTATCCTGCCTGTGTCAGCCACCAGGCACTGCTTTGCACAGCAGCAGGAGTGTGGGGCTCCTTCTCACTCACTGTGGACCCCACCATCTACCGCAACACCTGCCAGGACACCCCCTCAACCAGGGCTTGTGGGGAGAACATGAGAGTGCAGGAGGAAACCAGATCGTGGAGGCAGGAAATCCCCCTACAATGACCTGCCTCTCGGGTAAGTGGCGCCATCAGGGGCATGCAAGGAGTCCGCTGACTGCAGTCTTGTAACCAATCATGTTCTAATAGGTGGGTCCAGGAGGATCAAAATATTTTTTCCTTCTACAATTTTATTTTAATGCGATGCTCTCCCCCTGCCTGCTGCCCTCAGTGAATGCAGCCACACCTAGGACAGCTGAGACCTCAGCACTGTGCCCTGGAGCACGTGGCTGACTTCACTTCAGGTTCAGAAACAAGCATTCGAAATATTTGGCTAAGAGAAGCCAGAAACTGCTACAGGCATCTAAGTCCCTGATACCTGCCAGCAGCCCTCCATGGAAATACCATTATCTGCATCTCTGGTTAACAGATAAGGAAACTGAATCTCAGAGTTTACGCAAATTGCTCAGTGTCACAGAGGAGCTGGGAATGGGGCCTGACTCATCAGCAATTGTAATATATACCACACTGCAGAACGCTAAGGCCCCACGCAGCCCCGCTGGCTGCACGTCAGCACTTAAGGTATAATTACGTTAAACACAACTGAAATGCCAGGTCCTCAGCCACTCTGGCCTTGTTTCAAGTGCTCGACATCCACATGGCCCGTGCCTCCTGGACTGGTCAGCTCAGATGGAGGCCTTTTCCATCACTGTAGAAAGTTCTACTGGGTGGGGTCCATAGAGGCGATGGAGGATTTAAAATATATTTAAGTAATCTCACAGGTTAGGTTTTCTCATTTTTTTCATGCTCCAGAAAATGCTTCTGATGTACTGTTAAGAAAAAGAGACTCCAAGACCGGTGGGGGGAGCAGGTAGGAGGCGGAATGTGTTGGGATTATGTATAAAAACATATCACCTCGTTTTATACTTTTGTAAACTTTGTAGCTTTATAGGAAGGAAAATAATTTATTCTTTTTTTTTTTTTTTTTTTTTTTTTTTTTGTGGGACCCTCGCCGGCGGCGGGGTTTGAACCGGCGCTGCAGAGGCCGCAGGCAGCCTCGCAGCCCAGCGCTCAACCGCTGCGCCACCAGGGGAGGCCCGAAAATAATTTATTCTTATAATGAGAGGAAAAAAACTTTTGTGGGTTATTTTTAGACAGTCAAATGGGGGGCACTTACCTGTCCAATTTGTGGGAATATACTAAAAGACACTGGCACCATCAGCCCCATTACGAGCACAGTACAGGACAGTTTTAAGGTCCACAACGACCATGGATGCTGCTGGAAAATCTGGGACCTGGAAGAGACGAGGCACAGCTCTGGCATGGGGTTCCATATGGCCGGCCCCTCACCCTCCATGCTGTGTGCAGTGGCCCACGGCCCCACCGACAAGCAATACCAGCAGCTGCCCGCAGGGTGCTCACCAGCCCTGGCCTGCAGGTGAAGCACAGCACGTGCATTGATGGCCAGCCCTCACACACACAAGGACGCAGCCCATGACTGGTTGAGTCACTTGTCCGAAGTCAGATTCTAGAACCTGCACTCCCCAACCCGCCTCTGCCACCTCGGATGTGACATCCTCACTCTGACCTTTAAGAGTGGGAGATGGTGGGCCTCCCCTGGTGGCGCAGCTGGTTGAGTGCTGGGCTGCAAGGCTGCCCGCAGCCTCCGCAGCACCGGTTCATTCCCAGGCTGCCAGTGAGGATCCCACAAAAAAAAAAAAAAAAAAGTGGGAGATGGTGTGGGAAGCTACAAAGAACCCCCGCTGGAGAGTCAGACACCTGGGCTCTGGGGCCCAGAGGGGCTCGGCCACTGACAGACCATGTACTCCCAGATGAAAGTGTTCCCCTTCGTTTTCCAGCCGCAGATGAAAGGGTTGGGTTATCAGAGGCACTGTGGTCACTCCAAGGTGGCTCCACCATGGCTCTGGGATGGTGCCTGTGTGAGGAGGCCACCTCAGAGCCTGGGGTCCCTGGGCACCCAATACCCTCTGGAAAATGCAGACCCTCTCTACCTCCCAGGCCAGAGCCATCCAGGCAGAGGAACCAGCTTCCCAGAAGGCCAGCTCTGAGGTCAGCCAGATGGTTCAGGGACCCCTGACTGAGCAGATGTCTCCTGTCCAGCGGGATGGACCACAGGAAGTGATGACTGGCTCTGCCCAGGACACGGCTCCTCCTGAGGTCCCATGGGGTTTCCTACCTCACTGCCTGGCCACAGTGGATGGCTCAGCACCAGGCAGGTGAGCCTGGAGTCTGGGAACTGAGTGGAAGACAGGAGTGCCTTCTCTGGAGTGAGCTGATCTTTCATCTTTTAGCAGGACACTGTGAGGTGTGGGCAGGCATGTCCATCATCAACTAATACCCCAGGTGTGTGACAGGAGAGGAAGCCAGCGCCCATGAGGGAGAAGAGAAGACAGGACCTCCACTTGGCTTCTGTTTAAGCTTCACAGGTGACGTTTGCTGCCCGTGCCCAGCGCCTAAACCAACCTTGCGGCCTAAATGATTGCCAGCTGGGCTTCTCACATGGCCGATCTGTTCCCAGGCTCACTAATAGGGCATTTTTTTTCTCTTCTTTTCTTAAAGATTCACTTTTTAAAAATTATGCATACAAGGGGTCTCCCCGGTGGCGCAGCGGTTGAGCGCTGGGTTGCGAAGCTGCCCGCGGCCTCTGCAGCACTGGTTCGATCCCTGGCTGCTCCCCGGCCACCGGAGGAGGGTCCCACATGGCGCGCAGACCTCTCCTGCCACCCGCTGCTCCCCTCAGCAGTGTACTTCGGTCCTTCTGCCTGCTCTGCTCCCCGCTCTGGCTCTGGTGAATTCTCTCACCCTCCCGCGTTTCTGACTGTACCCAGTGCTTGTATAAATAAACAAACAAACGAATAAATAAATAACTCTTAAAAAAAAAGAAATTAAAAAAAAAATTATGCATACAAGAACTAGAGTGTGGGTGAGATGATACACCAGAGACAGAGTGGGGAGCAGAACAGGTGGACCTACAGAAATACACAGCTGAGGGGAGCAGCGGGTGAGTCAGGAGAGGTCTGCTGCGCCATGTGGGTTGCTCCCTGGTGGAGGATCGAACTCACTGGCAATAGCTTGACAGCATTGAGACTTTAACCCCTGTGCCACTAGGGAGGCCCTAACAGGCCATTTCTTCTCAAAAGGGATTACAGTCTGCTGACTCTGGTGTTAACAGCTTCATCTAATTTCAAACATGCTTGGAATGAAGGGGAGAAGAGGCTCAGGGATCAGCCAATCGGAGCTGGGAGCACCTGCACCCCTTCCAAGCCTGTCACTCTAGAAGCGGGGAACAAGCCTCAGCAGGTGCAGGGACACATCCACGGACGGAGCTGACCCAGGATGGGGCCTGGGTTATAGTCCACGTGGTTGGATCCCACGCATCTGGATCCGCACCTGCCCGAAATCAGGCTTACTGTCCACACTGAGGAAGAGTCTAGCAAGAAGATGACTGAAGCAGGTTCAGAATTTGACAAGTTTTATAAGGAATTTATGGCCACCATGTTGATTCCCACCAAGGAGCAGAGTACCTTTGACCACTGACTTTTTATTTCATGGTCCAGATCTGTTACAGCATTTCCCTTTCTGTCTTCACAGCAGCAGCTGGTGCACAACACGGCACACCAGAATCACAAAGCAACACCGCCTGTGCTGCAGGTTCTGCTCCAGAAGTTTCCATGCGTCACACACAGTGGAGCCTCTGCACCGGCCTCCCCCGCTTCCCCATCCCCTGGCGGCCAGTCTGTCCTTCCAGACTAAGGGGTGGTTCCGCTGGCCCCTTACCTTTTGAAAAAGAAGGAGAAGACTTCGGGAATCAGAGCTGAGGTCCCAAAGAGCAGCGCCCTGGACGTCGCCGTGTCCCTCACAGCCTGGCGGACGGAAGTGGGAAGGAAGCAGCTTAGCCTGTGGTGTGGGAGGTGTGCAGGGAGCCTGCACCCCGAGACACAAACAGCAACTGCCCTCCGCGCTGAGAAATGCTGCGCCTGGCAAGGGGAGGCCGCGACTCCTGATGCGCAGGGGCATGGAGGCCGGGTGTTTCCGGGGAGCCGGAGGCCACACAGTGGTGTCCAACAGCTCCCCCACCAAATAAAACACTCACTGCGCACAAGCAAGGGCGGCGTCTTAGGCAAAACTCCCTAAGACCCAAATGGCAGCCGGAGTGTGGAAATGCTGGATCTGCCCCAGGACTGCTCCCCATTTTCCTTCCAACCCACCAGCCTCTGTACCCTGAGCTGCTCCCCCTCACCCTTCCAGGGGAGGAATCCCCCAGAACCCAGTCGGAGAGCACTGGGGTGGCACCACACCCACACGGAGCACACGGGAGTCCACCTGCGGGCACCTGTCTTTGGCTGGTGTCATTAACAGTGCGGGACTAAATTGCAGCTGGCACAAATGTCAGCAGTTTGTGACATTCTGTCCTCCCTCCTATGCCACACACGGCTGTGCTAACAGTCAGACACACCATTTCCCGTGAGTCGCGTGCTCAGAACCAGGCCGCTCCGGGGCCACCTGAGACTTCCCAGGGATACCAGACCATCCGTGAAGCATGCTAATGCCAGACCAAACCCGGGGTGAGACCAACCCCAAAACAGCACTGCTGGTCCCCAGGTGGACAGGCTCAGGCGCCACCATTCCTGCCCCCAACACTCCTGCTTCCGCTTCCAGCCTCCCGGGACCTGGCCACCCCCTTCCTTCTCGGCCCTTCTCCTGCACCCGCACTCCTGCCCTTGCATGGGGAGCCGAGGAGGGGGCTCCCCAAACAAATGTTCAGCCACCATGAATCAATGCATTGCTCAGCTTCAGCAAGATAAACGCGGCTGCTGAGCATGGCGTGTGTCCATATCAGCGGGACCAGGCCAGCTGCCCCATCCGTCCCGGGCGCCGGGAGGACACCTGTCACGGGGAGGCATGGCTGCCCAGGCCAGTCAAGGGCAGCACCATGGACCAGGCCCTGAAATCTGATGAAAGGTGCCCATTACAATCAGATATTGCTGTTTCTGAAATTTTAGCCAAAGGAAATAAACCTTTCAGTGACAGGGAAATGACAAAAGAATGCGTATGCTTACGCACAGCAGCAGACACTATTCTGAAAAGGTGGATAAACTGTGTTTTAAAAGCAAACCATTAAACCTTTCTTTTACCCTAAGTTGGCCTTCATACTAAACAAGGAAGCCCCTCCTGATGAGATGGACTGGCACTAGTCCCTAGCTCGCCAGGCCTGAGGCTGCCACCCTGTTGAGAGGCTGGGTGGTCCGGGAAAGAAGGGATCTCAACTGGTGAGGGTTTGGGTGTCCAGAGCCTAACACTGTGCCTGGTGGGCAGGAGGCGCTGAGGAGCTGCTGTGAATGAACCGCTGGCTCTCGCTCTTCTCTGCAGCAGTCAGCATAGCTCATAACCCCAACACCCTGCAGTGACAGCTGCTGTGATGAAAGAGGTGATGATCCTGTACCCCTAAGTCATACACAGAGCTCTGAACCAACATTCCATCAACTTAGCACAATACAATTAAAATTATGTTTTCTTCAATTATAATACAATTATGTTTAAGATTGAGTTGAAGAGAAATGCAAACATATGTCCACACACAGAGCTGCACGATTCATCAAAGCCCCAAACTGGACACGATCCAATGTCCCCCACCTGGAGATGGAGAAGCCAAGGTGCTACCTCCCTCGGGAGGAACTGGCTCAGCAGTGGGCACTTGGGTCAGGTTACTCACACAAGGTGCATGACCCTCAAGAGTGAAAGGCATCAGATATAAACAAGGAGTGTGTGACTCATTTACATGAAATTTCTACAAAAGACAAAACTGCAAAGACAGGCAGATCAGGGTTTCCTCGGGGTGGGGGTAGGGGTGAGGGAGAAGAGATGGTAAATGGGCACAAGGGAATTCTGAGGGTGAGGGCAATGTTTTAACTGGGCTGTGATGAAGGTTGCACACTGCTTAAGTTGACTAAAATTCATCAAACTCTGCTCTTATAATGGGTGGATTTCATAGGACATAAATGATACCTTAAGAAAGCTGTTAAATGTCTCTAGGGGCGTTTCTTAGGCACAGAACCTGCATTTTGAAAATGAGGTATTTTATTTCTGGCAGCAGTTTCTCTCCTTGTTACTTGTAATTATCATGCCCTGTCGTGATTCATTCAGAAAGGGGGTCACTTTGCAAACACACTACTTGATGAGCACGTAGCTGCTGGGTTAGCCTCTGTAGCATGTAGCTGCCGGTTTGCAAGTCGGCTTTGTAAATCATTGACAGGATGTAGATTATGATGTTTCACGAACCGGATAATGATGCATTTGCCAACTGAAGGAGCTGCCATCTCTCCTGACCTCCTCTTGCATGGATGAGCTGAGCCGAAGCCTCAGCGGGCTGAGAGTGTCCTCTTGAATACTGACACTGAGAAGCCCAGCTTCTCATTTCATCACAGGGGCTGTTCCATGTGGCTCTTTCGTGTCACTTCACTGCCTCAGGTTACCACTCTTTCGCTCAAGTCATCACAGGGACCAAAAAAGATCTCACTTGCTGAAAAAAATCACTTTTAAAAAAGGCCACATCCAAAAAGACTACCAGAGGCTGCTGCAGTTTCTTAAAGCTGATTATACCCAGAAGCCACTGACTCAACTTGAGCAAAAAGGATATACTATCTAATAATACAAGTTACTAAAAATTGAGGCATTTTATAAGAGTTTGGGTTTTATATTTTATAAGGCATGGGGTTTTCATAGGCGATCTTGGATAGCAAATTGGATCGCAAAGATGAAGACTAAGAAAATCTGCTGTGAGAAGGACAGGGAGGGTGTCCGCTGACCTCCAGGAGCACAGAGCTGACCAGGAAGGTGGGTGCTGAGCTAGAAAAACATCAAAACATCATTTCACACTCATCGAGGGGCCAGGCATTTGGCCCAGATGGGGTGGTCAGTCTTTCAGGCCAATTGGTCAGGCTAAAAATCTCCAGTTATTTAATCAAACATGAACTTGCTGTGGGGTAGTTTCCACATGTGGTTACTATCAACATCATCTAACTTTAAATGAGGCGATTACCCTCCATAATGTGGAGGGTAATAAGTTGGACAGTTTGAAGAGCAAAACCTGAGGAATCTCAGAGAAATTCTGCCGCAAGACTATATAGTCTGTGGTTCTAGCCTGCCAGCCTGCCCTACACATCCCCAACTTATCAGTCCCTGCAACTGCATGAGTCAATTATTTAAAATAAATCCCTTCACACATGAACATATGCAAAGAGCTACATAGCTAATGGCCTATTGCTTTGCTCCTCTGGAGAACCCAGGCCAGTATACCATCTTTTTAAACATCAGAGTGCAAAATGGAAATACTCAGAGAGTACCCAGGAGAGGGAAGACAGCACCAGAAGACATTGAAGGAGGATGTGTCACTGGCTCTCAGACAGAAAATTCAATTCTTTGCCACAAAGGCAAGCAGCTTGGCTCCATTACGTGCCCTACCTTCGTCCCAGCTTTTCTGGAATAGCCTATGACGTTGCCATCCTTGTCCATGACCTCAATCCCTCGCATGGGCTCCAAACTTCGGGACACAACGACATTCATACCACTGATGTGGGCTGTGGCCATGAAAAAGAGAACACAAAAGGCACACTTTGGGGGGTGTGTCAAGACTCTTTCACCAACGGCTGCCCCTCCCTGACCATAAGGTGGTCAGTCATCTGACATGTGCTGAGCCAACAAGGCCTCTCCTGGGGCTCTGGAGGGGGCCAGGGCACTGACTTCTCAGCCTTGAATCCTACCTACACCCAGCAGCAGGATCTCAGCCCTGAAGCCCAGCCCACCTCCCTGACAGGATGGCAGGAGAAACCCTGGAACCCTTGAAATATAGCCCCCTTAATTGCTTAAGCGGGTTTAACCATGTTTCAGTAAAACAACTCCCCAAATTTCAGCACTGACGTCATTCCCAAACCCAAATTCGGAACGTGAACTAGTGAACTCACAGGCTGGTGAACTTGAAACAGCCAGCTGGTGTCTTTCTCACTCCCTCTGGAGTCAGACAGCCGGGCTGGAACCCCCGTGACCCAGTGCCTCCCTGTGTGGACCCCAGGACAGCCACCTCCCCTCCCCTGGCTCAGGCTCCTCAATTGAAAATGAGAATATTATCTGCCCATAAACTGTCGCCAGGATACGTGAAATAATCCACGTACAGGGCGTGTCTTTATACATGGAGAGCAAAGTCGTTAAAATGTAACGTGTCTCCAGACACGTTCATCCTTTGACAACTAAAGGCGAAGCTATAGGGAAAGCATCACCTCTCAAACCAAAGACTGAATCTGGGCCTGGGGGCTCCAGAGCCCCCCAACAGCAGCAGTGTCCGCTGCCATCAGCCCCCAAGAGACCTGGGTGTCCCTGAAGATGGAAGAAAAGCTCAAAAGCCACGGAGGCAGCTGGTTTCCTGCTCACCGACGAGGAGCACAGGAAGGGCTTTCCGCCACAAAACGTTATCCAGGGGCGCCTTCATCACCAAACGAGGGACCACCTGGAAAGCGAGAGAATAATCACTATTACACAGGTCCGGGCAGCAGCCAGACACCCTGGACAGCACAGCGCAGGGGCCCCTCTCAGCCCCATGGCCAAGAGACCACACGAGAGCTCGCCGTGCACGCCTTCACTCTGGCCACGCCGAGGTGTCCTCGCTGCCTGTCACAGCTGCACGGGGCACGGCTCGCTTCACCGCACCCTGCAGACAGTGTCCTTCCTTACAGACCCCCGACCAGCACAAGGTCACACTGCACTGAGGCTCAGGTGATGGCAGCCTTTTTTAGCAATGAGTCTTAATGAAGGGATGACATTGTTTGGACATGCTAGATGACAGTGTAGAGTGACAGAAGTCTTATGCGCACTGGGAACCACAACACTGGTGTGACTTGCTTTAGCAGGATGGTGGGTTCACCACATTCTCTTTTTGGGGTGGTCTGGAACTGAACCCACTATGTCTGCACAGTGGCCTATACACGGAGCCTTGGAGAGGCCACATGACTTATTCAGAGGTACTAGGCCGTTGAGGATGACAGTTGCAACCCCAGGCCTATCTGAGTCCAAAATCTCTATTTTTAACCATTACGGGGATCTGACATCCAAAGCAACATACAATTTGCATAACATGTTTACATATCATAAATTATTTTTTAAAAGAACAGTACTGAGCCAATGCCTAGAAACTTAGAATGTCCTTGTGATTATTAGGGGGTGACAGAATGACAAATGACTTTTATGACTGATCCATATTTTTTAAATTGTTTGTTGGAACATAAATTTGTAATCAGAACAAATAGAGCCTTTTAGATTCTATAGAAACAATTTTTAAAATACTCACTCCAAAAAAGGTCGAAGAAGCAATTACTCCTGTCCCTAGTAATATACTCTCAAGTGGGCGACGATTCTAAGGACAAACAAAAAAAGTTTGTAGTTAGCAAAAACCACAGATCATGGGCCTCCCTGGTGGTGCAGGGGTTAAAGTCTCAGCACTATCAAGCTATCACCAGCCACTGCAGCTGATCCCTGGCCAGGGAGCTGACCCACATGGCGCAGCAGACCTCTCCTGTCTTGCCCGCTGCTCCCCTCAGCAGTGCATTTCAGTCAATCTGCCTGTTCTGCTCCCCACTCTGTCTCTGGTGAATCATCCTCTCACCCCCCGCATCTCTGGCCTGTACTCAGCTCTTGTATGCATAAATAAATAAAATAAATCTTTAAAAAAGAAAACATAAAGCTGCGGGCTCCCCAGGACTCACATAGCTGGCATTCCCATTGACCATGTTGAAGGCCGTGGAGTAGGAATAGAAGGAAGCCTGCAGAAAGAAGAGGCAGAGACATCACATTTTGATTTCAGGCACAACAGAATTTTGTAATCACAAAAAAGAAGTAATTGCTACCTGAGGTAAAATCATGGATTTCAGATTTCTTGTTGATAGCAGTGACAAAAATACCTTTTAAGGAAATAAAGCAGTTGTAAGTGTTTGGGGGGAGGGACAGTCTGTGTTAACAAGGAACTTCTGGGTGAGAGGCAGAAGGGAGCACCACACCCCGGAAGCTGGGAAGGGACAGCAGGGTGTGGACGCAGGGGACTGTGGGAGGTGGACAAGCCATGGTAAAGGAGCACCTGCTGGGCCCAAAGAGTCTCCCAGAAGTCCCTCCCCCTAAGACCTGCCACCGAGCAGGGCAGCAAGGGGCCAGGGACGTAGGTCAAGTGTGGAAGAGGAGCAGAGGGGTGTCTCCATTATGTGAGAACACTGTCCCAGAGCCAGTGGGATAACCTCAGGGGCTGGGGGTGCAATTCCAGATCCCAAGGAGCAGACTGGCTCAGGGGGAGCACTAGAGCCGATGACAGGAAGCACATCTTCACTCAGGGATCTCCTACACAGGGATTACCCTGTGACACCTTGAGCCTTCCAGAAGCCGGGATGCCTGACTGGATAAGTAGGGGGCAGGGTGGAAGGTATAACCATCTCTTGGGCAGTCTCTGGGCCAGGTCAGAGACGGCGGGCCTCACCCTCTACGCCTGTTCATCATGGCCACAGCGGACTCACCGTGGGAGCTGAGAAAGGCAGGAGAGCTGCAAAGAGAAGAGCACCAGTGACCGCAGCTGCTGAGGAGGGGAGAGGTGCAAGGGGCATGTCCCCTCAGCAAGTCCTCTCCAGCCTCCTGACAGCACTGGCTGCAAAGGACATTTTTTACTCAATTTTTTCCCTAACAAAATAACCATGTGCATGTGGGAAACGTGACTCAGCGCAGGACAGAAACACCTAAGATAGGGTCTCTGCAGCCTTCCCAGCCCATCACTGAAGGTTAAGGTGATTCCTCTGCTGGAGCTGGGCAAGGTCAACCGAAAACCTTCTGGTCGGGACTCTCCTGAGGGGTGAATGCAGCAGGTGACTGAGTCGAAACCAGTGCTCATTCCTCATCCTGAAAATCCTTAACAATGATGCTAAGTCTACTCTGTGCTCAAAACTTGGACGGCAGTACATCTGTTTACACATCGTTTACTGAATATTTTCTTTTCTTTTTTTGTATGTGTAGAACTGGGGTGTAGACCAGAGGTGTGGGGGGCGGGTAAAAGGGTTCACCAGAGATGGAGGGGGGAGAACAGGCAGACTGACTGAAATCCACTGCCGAGGGGAGTAGCGGGGAGACAGAAGAGGTCTGCTGCACCATGTGGGTCGCTCCCTAGCCAGGGATCGAACTCAGGTTGCAGCGGTGATAGCACTGAGACTTAACCCGTAGACCACCAGGGAGGCTGTTTACTGAATATTTTCAGCCCAATGTTGAGACCAACTGATTGAGAAAAAAATTCTTTTCAAAAATATTTGTTTAATGACCATTTATAAGAAGAGAAATGTTGTTTTCATAGCTGCTAATTCAATACCCGCTCTGCAGACTATGGATCAAGGAGTAATTTCAACTTGCAAATCTAAATTACACTTCAGAAGGCTATAGCTGCCGGAGATAGGGCCCCGCTGCTGGGTCTGGGTCAAGTCAACTGAAAACCTCCTGGGAAGGACTCACCACCCTAGATGTCATTATGAATGTTCATGATTCACGAGGTCAAAATAGCAACATTCGCATGTAGGTTTTACCTCATTCTTTTTAATGAATTATTTAACAGCCTGAATTTTGGATGTTTATGTTGGTTCCAGTTTCTTGCTCATAGCAAAGAGAATTTTATGGGAATTCCTGATACTAGCCCTTGTGAGCTATACCTTCTGGAATCATCGATGAAAGAATTAGCTGTGTTCTTTTGGGCATGATGAAGCAGGGTGGGGCTCAGACCCACTGCCCCACTGCCCAGATCTTTCCACAGGGTTGGATACTGCTGTGGGTCCCAAACCTTCTCTTCTCCACTGCCAATCCCTGTCATGTGCTGTTGAAACATTCCTTTTAGGCTGTGATTTCCAGCCTCATAGTCAGAAATCATTCCAAGGGGAAAAAACCTTTCCTAACTGTTACAATCGCATCTTCCCAACTTTCACGTGAAAGTTAGAGTGAGCTCACCTGCAGGTCGAAACGCGACGGGGATCAGTCTGCTATTGTCAGGGTGCACTGTTGACTTCAAGAGGGCGAACACAAAGGTCAGTCTGATGTTTAGTCTTTTAGGAGGCTAAAGATTAAGAAGGGGCTGAAACTTACAAGACTTCTCTTCCAAGCTTCTTGTATCTTGAAAGAGAAAAAAGAGAAGAAACAAGCAGTTAAGCTCTTCAGGTGACAGCAGCAACAAATCCCTTTAGTCTCATTTCTGGTCCCATCTTTGTTCTGTCTTTTGAGAGAGCAGGCCAGAGCTGCTTCCCAGCACGTGGGCAGAAGCAAACCAAATAAATGAATCAAATGAATGAATAAATGTAAGAACTGAGAAGTGAAGTGATGAGCCACACAAAGATAATGACCAGAACATTAAAAAGTCTTGCGTTCCTGACTGTGGCAAGGACTCCAGGTCAACACCTAACTTGTCCCTTGGCTGAGTCCCTGAATCCAGCCACCCCCAGCTCAGAGTCAGCTGCTTAGAATGGACCCTGCCTATCAGCAAAGGTGACAACCTGCAGCTCCCACGCCACTGGCCAAGTCATAGCATCAGGGCCAGGTGGTGGGCCCAGAGGCCCAGACAAGTTCTTCAAAAACTAAGTTAGGCATGTGAGCGTCCCACAGGCTGCCTCGCTGGACTGGCGTCTGTGGGCTCCAGGGAGCCCCCAGGCTGCAGAGAGATGACAAAAGACTTGGTTTGAGTCTCTGGCAGGAAGGGAACCTGGCCTAGAGTGCCGCCTTCAAAAGGGAACAGTCTGACTTAGGAGCTCTGCCCAAGGTCTGGAGTTGGCCACCAGTCTCCAGGGGCCAGGACAGAGAATCCTCACGCGGACCCAGTACACAGGAGGACCCCTGTGCTGGTTCCTCCTTAAAACTCATTCCTAGAATCCTATTTATGAGAGGGAATTCTAACTACATCTGACATTTGAACAGCACAGATTTAAACTGTATGGGTCCAATGATACTCAGATTCTATCCCCATGGTCCACATTCAACGATGCCAAGTCTGCTGATTGGCAGGGTCCATTCTAAGGGACTTGAGCATCAGAGGATCCTGTATCCTGCGAGGGAAGGGGGTGGTCAGGAAATCAACCCCCTTCGAATCCCAAAGGACACCTAGGGACCTCCCAGGTAGTGCAAGGGTAAGGCACAGCACTATGAAGCTATCCAAAGAATACCTGTAGTTAAATCTTGGGGAAGTCAACTTATACTGGGCATTGTTCAAAGGCCAACTGTCCATTAAAAAAATAACCTGATTTTTCAACTAAAGCTGATCCTCTGGGCAGTGTTTACAAAGGCAACATTCTACCTGATTTCCAACCGTGCAAGCAGAATCAGCTGAAGACAACCCCACCCAAGGACCCCACTTGGGGGCCACGAAACCTACCCTTCGGTCCCCCAAGTCAAATCTGTATGCATCTTCACAGGTTAGCAACAGTTGCCTTGATTTTTCTATTTTTTCCTAAATCAGATAAAAAAAAAAAAAAAAAATCAAAGAAATGATCTTAATATTGTTCATCCACAGATTCAGGTGTGCTCACTCACATCTGCCTTCAATGTAATATATGGCCATGTTCTCGACACCCCGACAGCTCCTATCCGAGAGTCCCTCGCGCCCTCCAGACCCAGCTCCCCAGACAGCAACAGCAGCTGACCCCACGGGGCAGGTTCCCAGATGTCTCAGTGAATGGACCCCACCCCCCTGGTTACCACATCAGAAACCTGGAAATCCCGTACCCCTTACCACCCCACAGCTAATCCATTTAGTCTATTTCCTCTCTTCTTTTTCACTTAATATGAGAAATCAAATACAGGAAACATAATAAATCACCATATACGCATAACCCCTTCACCCCAAATCAACAACTGTAAACAATTATATTTGCTTCTGTTTTTCTTCTTCCACAAAGAGCCGTGATCCGTCGTCCTGTTCCCCTCCCCAGTCTATCAGAGGCACAAACTGCCAGTCCAATTTTGTGTACTTACACACACAGGAATACATGTATCCATAAAAAATGTGGAGTAGTGGTTATTTTATATTATAATTTGCATAACTACTGTACTTTATGCATCCTGCTCTTTCCACTCAACAGCACAGATATCATGTTTTTTCCATTTAACATCACATATATCACATGTTTTCACTTAATAGCATATGTTGAAAACTAGATCACTGCTTTTAAGAGCTGACTGGCATTCCACTCTATGAATACTCCACACGCTATTTCCCCGAGGATGGGCATTCAGGGTGCTTCTTGCTTCTTTCTGTTATAAACAGGGTTGTATGAAACATCATGAGCACCAGGATGGGATCTGGCCCTGAAGAGTCACTGACAGGGTCACCAGCCTCAGCCATGCCTGGTACCTTCTCTTCATCCTTCACTCGCTTGCACAGCTGAGTCATCCCCTGAACTGATCACATTGACTGGTTCCCTCTGGTTACCTCCCACATGGCACCCAAAGAGAGCCTCCCTAATAGACCTCACCCCATGGTCTCAGTGCAAACCCCTCTAGTCTGAAGGACACTCCAGGCTCTGGGGTGCCTAGATTCCCCACGGAGAAGCCCCAGTGGTTGCTAGACCTACTTACAGTCCACGCCCTGATCTTCCTTCAGCCCCTTCCCATCCCAACCTCTCCTCAACCCCTCCCCAACAGGGTGAAGCAGTCCCCCAGGCTGAGCCTCACTGCAGGGCCCCTCGAATCCCAGGTCAGTTGGTGACAGGCTCCAAGATCCGGGAGGTTTGTTTTCATCCTCTTGAACCACCAGCACCTGCCCAGGGCTTGGTCTCACCTGTACACTTTTATGCAGCCCCCTGAGCCTATAATCCATGCATTTGGAAGGAATAAAAGCATGACAGTACATAAGGATCCTGTTATTTCAATGGTTTCAAGAGACCACGTCTTTACATTCCCATTCCAGAATAAAATGTGAAAGTCATTATTTCTAAGAACAAGAAAATACTTACAATTGAAAGGACCAGATTTGTAGGATCCAATAATTCTGTCCACTGAAGAAATCTCTGAAAAAAAGACTTGAGAGGGAAGAGCACCAGAGAGATGAATGGCAGCAGAAGATACATGGGAATAAGTTAACTTTTCTTCCTTTTTTTTTAATTTATTCATGCACACAAGAACTGGGGTACAAGCCAGAGGTGGAGGGGTTGAGAGATTCACCAGAGACACAGAACAGGCACACCGACCGAAATACACTGCTGAGGGGAGCGGAGGGTGAGTCAGGAGAGGTCTGCTGCGCCATGTGAGTGGCTCCCTGGCTGGCTGGGGATTGAACTTGTGCTGCAGAGGCTGCGGATAGCTTTATAGTGCTGCGCTCAACCCCTTGTACCACCAGGAAGGCTCAGCAGTTAATTCTTCTTATGAGAAACCAGTGGGGTTTTATGACCTGCCTTCTACCTGGTGCACCTGGATTCCTCACCAAATCCCCATCTTACAGGTGAGGGCACTGAGGCTTAAAAGGACTCTTGAATGTACTCAAAGAAACCTAGCCAGGAGATGACTCTCAGCCTCTGCACTATCAACTGCTCTTGAAGATTAAAAGACTTTGGGGGGCCTCCCTGGTGACACAAGGGGTTAACTCGCAGCGCTATCAAGCTATTGCTAGCCAATGAGACATGAGTTCGATTCCCAGCCAGGGAGATGACCCACATGGCGCAGCAGACCTCTCCTGTCTCACCTGCTGCTTCCCTCAGCAGTGTGTTTCAGTAGATCCACTTGTTCTGCTCCCCACTCTGTCTCTGGTGAATCCTCTCACCCTGCATCTCTGGCCTACATCCTAGTTCTTCTGTGCATAAATAAATAAAATAAATCTTTAAAAAAATAAAAGACTTTGGGGTCAAATGGGTCTACATCTCCCACCCCATGACCTTGAAGCAACTACATAGGAAAGTCTGAGACTCTGTTTCTTCACCCTCTTAGGGCAGTTATGAGGCCTCCCTTGAGTCCAGAGAACTGGACACCCCACTGAAGCCTCAATAAGGGCAGCTTTGCTTACACGTGAAGGGGGGTCTGGTTAGCTCCAAAAGCCCCCACATTTTGCAGGGCCTAGTCCTGGCTCCACCTGGACAACATGAGCTCCATTGCTTCGGAATTTCCCCACCTAAAACACTAGACTCGTCCCTACTCTGCCTGAACCAGTACTTCCAAGGAGCCCCGGGCCATGGAGCGCTGAAACGCAGATGTGCTGTGTGTCTACAATGTACACTGGCTTTGCCCCAAGAAAGGGCGTAAAATCTCCTTTGATATAAGAAATTATGATTTTATATCGCTTACCTTTCAAAATGTTAATGTTTTGTGCTCAGTGCGCTAATTATGGCATATTATTAAAATTAATTTCAGTTCTTTCCTTTTACCTTTGTTACCGAGGCTACAAGAAACTTTTAAATAGCTTCCAAGCCTCCCACCGTGTTTCTATTGGACAGCCGCGCGCAGACTTGCCCGCAGGCGGGGCCTCTCTGCTCCCCAAGCGCACTGGGGCGCGGGGCGCAGGTGCGCCCCGAGTGGCGGACGCGCGGGGCGGGGAGGCGGGGCGCCCCGAGAGTGCGGATCCTCTCCAGCCCGGGCCCAGCCGCAGCCTCCGCGGCAGAGGACGGACACCTGCGAGGTGGGGGCTCTGGGGCGCCCCGCCACGTGACCCTCCGGGCCCCCCTCCGCAGCGCAGGCTGCAACAGGGGCGACTCTCGGGAACCGCCGCGGCGTGGGCATCCGACAAGCTGGCGCTGCCCTTCCGTCCCCTCCACGTGCTGCGACCACGTGGGCTGCCCAAGGTCACCGGGGCCGGGCGCGGACCGCTCGCGGGCCGGCCCACAGCGTCTCCCTCCCCAGCCGCGCGGGGCCCGGGCCGTACTTGGCGTTCCGAGATCCAAAAGCGCACGTTGGGCTCCATGCGGGCGGCGGCGCCGCTGCAGGTGGCTCCGCTGTCCGGGCCCTGCGCCGCCTCCCGCGCCCCTTCCAGGCCCCTGCGTGGTGGCTGCAGAGGCCGCCGCCGGGCCCGGCCGGGAGGAGGAGCCGCGCGGCTGCCCCGCCCCGGGCGCACGCGCGCCCCGGGTTCCGGTTCTCGGGGCCCGCGCGCCCGCTGGTCCAGGTCCGGGGCGGGCCGCGGCCGCGCCCCCAGCCTTGCGCGCCCCCAGCCTTGCGCGCCCCCAGCCTTGGCGCCCCCAGCCTTGCGCGCCTGCGGTTCCCAGCCCTGGGCCCGCGCGCCCTCCTCTCCCGCAGGCTAAATGCCCCAACTCCGCTCTGCCGCTTAGAGTCATCTGGCCGCTTCCAGCCTGGGGGATGTCACAGGACCCCCGCTGCCACAGCACCTGCTGCCGAGGCCGCGGCTTGGAGCTGTCCCCATCCTCGCCCTCCGCTCGCGCTCGCACTTCATCTACCCTGGTGCACAGGTGCTCCCAAGCCTGGGCGGTACTCCCCCCAAACCCCTTCAACAGCCCCGTATATATAAACAAGGTATTGGGGAAAGTCAGCATAGGCTACCTAATTTGCGTAGCGCAGTGAAAAATGAAAATGTGTCCCTTAAAAGACGGAATTTTAAAAAATCCTCTTGAGAGCATTAAACCAAACCCAGAGCTAGGCGCTATTTCTGAGCCTTAAGTTTTTTTTAAAAAAAGATTTATTTATTTATGCATACAGTGCAGGCCAGAGGTGAGAGGATTCACCAGACAGTGGGGAGCACAACGGGCAGATCTTCTGAAACACAGTGAGGGGAGCAGCGGGGACACAGGAGAGAGGTCTGCTGCGCCATGTGGGTCAGCTCCCTGGCTGTGGATTGAACTCAGGCTGTAGTGGTGATACCTCTGACTTAACCCACCACCAGGGAGGCCCTATGGTCATTTTAGAAGAGAAAGACCTGGAAGGACTCACGCTCCCTCCAGCCCACTCTGAGGACCCGCCTACACCACCTGCAACTCTGCTCTAGCCCCTTGCTCTACTTCTCCCAGTCTATGTGCTTGTGTCTCTCTAGAATGTGAGTGCGTGAAAGGGGTTGTGTTTTTTCACTCTCATGTCCCTAACATAGCAGCTGGCATGTGGTAGGTACGCGAGTTTATTGAAATAAATGCTTTCACATCTTACTTGTCTCCTAAACAGTCCCTTGGCAGTAGAAATCAGCAGCTTACTTATTTCCATGGCCCAAGTTAAAAGTTAGAGGAATGTTTGCTAATATAATCAGGAGGGAAACCTAGCACCCGACGACATAAGCTAAACAATGGTGTTAAAAATGCAAGTATTTTAAAATGTTTATTTTTTTATGATATACTTTACATCAAGCACTTCAGAAAAAAATACAGTGATTTCAAAATGTAATCCCTGGATTCAATAAATATCCTTTATAATTATACCCAGTTAATGTATGTAGATACTAAGGCAGCTAACAAAATAAGTAAAATAACTATCAACTATAAATCTTAGGGATGGGGAACATGCATGATCAGTTAAGTCACTTTGCCACCGTGTTTTTTCAGAAACATGATTCACATTTGTTTCAGTCACACATACACACATTGCAGATTCTACCAGACTACTGATGCGAACAACTTAAACTATGATCTCTCTTGCTATAAAAGAAAATTCAGTTTAATACAAGAAATTCAAGAAGAAAATTTCAGGACCTTTGATCAGAAGTTTTCGATGCTTGTGTAATACTCTGCTACATACAAAGGTTCAAGCAAGGCCAAGAAAGAAGAGCTTGCTTTTCTCACCGAAGACATGATCCAAGAAACAGGAGAATCAGGCATTCTATACACTAGCCAGTCATCAAGAGGTTGCCAGGAAAGGGCAGCCACACAGTCACCACATTTAAAAAGCCTTAGCTAGTATTGCAAAAAACATCGAGAGTAATATTTATGAGTACAAGCATAACTGGTTTTCTGCCTTCTATAAATAATCTCTTAAATGCTAACAGTGAGTTCCGATTGTGGTTCCTTTCTGGTATGAGAAGCTGCAGGTGCATGTAGGATGATCTACTGATTCACCTTCTCAAAGTATTCCTTGGAAGCAGTCGGATGAGGCTTGATCTGAAAACAAAAACATTTAACGGTGTAGCCGACATTATAAAAGTCCCGAAAGTGAGCTGAAGGCACTCCATTTTTATCCTAAGATTCCCTAACTTATAAGCAACTGGTGTCTCATTGATTTCTTTTTCACATGTAGGGTACTTGCTCATAGACGGGCCACGACTCTCCCGCCCTGGTCACCGACCCAGATCCCTGTTGGGTGTGTTGTAAACAGAGAAGCCATTTCTTCGGGCCCCCTGCTCTGAGCACACCCCAGCCCTCCTTCCTTTTGAACACATGAATTAAAGCTGCATTAACAGCTTGCCTGGTCCCTCTCCCAACCCCACCTCCTAGCCCTCAGCAACCTCATCCAGTTATGAACCATCTGCATCCTTGCTCCCAAGCTGGGCTCCTTCTGTGGATATCCCAGGCCAGCAGCCCTTGAGGCAGCAAAGACCTCGGACCCTCTGCTGGGTCCCTCTGCTCTTGGAAAAGAAACCTACTGTAGGAGAATCCGGTGTCCAGTTTGCCGGGCAGACTTCCCCATGGGCCTCCACGAACTGGAATGCCTTCACCAAGCGGAGGGTCTCTTCCACGCTCCGGCCCACTGGGAGGTCATTGACACTCATGTGCTTGATGACTCCATTGGGGTCGATTATGAAGAGACCTCTGCAGCAGAATTTATCCTTGTCAGTATCTCAACACTACCAGAACTAGAAAATGTCTAATGTCTACCCTCTTGGTCTTTAATCCTCCTTAACAAGTGTCTATGAAGCGCTCATATGCTTTAAAATGGGGTTTCCTGTTTTCAGAACGATATGTCACCTCTTCCAGATAACAGATGCTCTACCAAAGGTGGAATGGGTCAGTGACCAAGGAAAACAGGCAGAAGGGTCACACCGCCAAGTATGACCTGAACAGCGCACAGAATCTAAAAGACACTGAACTACAGAGAACGAAGATGTGTTAGTGATTTCGCAAGCATTCTTTGGGCTGCTGTATCAAATCTTAGCAAGAAGATGGGAAAGGGAGATGGGAAAGGACAGAGATGTATTTTCTCTATATTCAAGAAATACTTATGAAATCAGTAAATTTTTGGGTAAATGGGTGGGGGGGGGTTCTTTGCAGAAAGAACGTAGTGGCTGTTAAGTCTCTGCATAGCGGAATCTAGAGAAAAAATCCAGTCCGTCAATCCTTCTCGCATGACAGCGATGTACTGGGATGACACCCTCCAGGGCTGCCTTCACCTCTGCGTGAGTGCTGGAGTAACCGCGGCTCACGCAAGGATGTTTAACCCACAGCTTTTAACAGTCCAACCAAGGGGCCTACCAGCCCAGTGTTACTCGCGGAAAAGTCAAGTCAAAGAAAATGCACAAGTTAACAGGTACTTCTCCCTCTCAGGGCTCGTCCTGGGGGTCTAGGCTTTGAGGCTTACCCGGCCCTGAGGATGGAGACAAGCTGGACTCCACTGTGTGAACAGACACAGCTGAGGTGGAGCAGGGCCCGCGCCCTCTGAGAAGCAAGCCCCTCGCCAGCCAGCCCCAGGCTCCTCTCCCTTGGCATTCTCAATAGTGAAACCAGCACGGAGGGAACTGCACAATGAGCCGGGCAGGACAGGGCAGGGGGTACTAGGGGGCCAGGGTATTGGGGGAGGGAGCCAGCACTCTTTTCCTTCCCTTGCCAATTCTTTTTTTTTTTTTTAAAGATTTATTTTTATTTATTTATTTATACAAGCACTGGGTATAGTCAGAAGCGCGGGAGGGTGAGAGAATTCACCAGAGCCAGAGCGGGGAGCAGAGCAGGCAGAAGGACCGAAGTACACTGCTGAGGGGAGCAGCGGGTGGCAGGAGAGGTCTGCGCGCCATGTGGGACCCTCCTTTGGTGGCCGGGGAGCAGATGGGGATCGAACCGGCACTGCAGAGGCCGCGGACAGCTTCGCAACCCGGCGCTCAACTGCTGCACCACCAGGGAGGCCCCCCCTTGCCAATTCTTAAGCTAGGCTTCAGCTTATTAAAGGGAGACAGTAATCTTAGAGTTAAAAGGCCAAGCTCCAAGGTGACTCCCAGAGGCCAAATTCCAAGTGTAACCCAAGAGGAAAACAGGCCAGATGAGCAGGATCAAGCTGGTCCCCAGCACCCAACTGGGAAGTACACCAAAATGGGGTTGGACGTAGTTGTCTCCCATCCCCCCATGACTCAGCAGCCATTAAGATGTCAGTTATGAGGTCTCAGTTCTCATCTCCCCCAGAAAGGTTGTGTTTGAATATGGGATTGTTGTTTTTGTCAAATTAGAAAGGTCGTGTCTGTCTCATTATTTTTCATAGTTGAACAAGTGTAGCTAAAAGTGTGAAGAAATATTATTAAACATAACACTGGTGGTTGTTGTCCAAGATGGCGACACGGAGCCTTCTGAGCTCACTTCCTCCTACACACATACCAAATCTACAGTCACACACGGAGCAATTCCTTGTGAAAGAAATCCAGGGCCAGCTGAGCAACTCCTACATATCAGGCAAACAAGAAATCTTCTACATCAAAATAAGTGCCCAGATCTGAATACGGGGCTGCTGAAGACAGAGCTTGGAGATTCAAAGGAATAAAGGTCTAACCGTGGATGTGACACTCTGGGACAGAGGTCACACCTGCTGTCAGGCTCTGTGCTGAAACCTCAGCTGTCTCCCCTTCTTTAATTCTCCCCACCAACCTGGGAGATACACTCTTATTTTAGTTATGGGCACACTGGGGCTCAAAGAAACTAAATAACTTGCCCGGAGCCACACGGCTCTTAAGTGAAAAATATAATCACCCCAAGCCTATGTGATTCCACAAGATCGTGATCATTCCAGGATGCTGAATCCTGCCCTTCTTCACAGTGAAGTCTGGTGCTTCACTGCCAGGAGCATGGCCCTCATGAAGAAGTTTCTAGGTGGTTAGGGGGCGTGAAGCAGTGGAACCATTAAGACACAGGGTGGTGGGGAGACAAACCAGTTCCAGCCATTTCTGAAAGACTGCTACCCTCCCAGGAGGTCATTCTTATTAAAAGACTAAATTAAGGACTTTTGGTTCTCAAGATGCTGTCACGAGAGTCTCAGTAAATCTCCTAAGTTATGAGGATGCTAAACATGAAGCCAATTTTAAGTGCATAAGGAAGAGATCTTACCTCAGGGCCAGACCAGGACCTTCCAGCAGCACACCGTAGTCTCGGGAAATTTGCTTAGTCAAGTCAGACAGGAGTGCTATGTTCATGTGGCCCAAACCGCCATCCTAGTAGGGATGCAAATAGGACTGAATGTCAGACGGCACCCTCCAGCCAGCTGGGCCAGGGAGCAGACGCTCCAGACCAACTCAGCGGCAACAGGCGGAAGTAACTGGGGGCCAAGTGCTTTCTAGTGACTCACTCGCCCTCCCATCCTGGAACAAATGCCAGTACAGTCACTATTTGACAGATGAGGAAACTGAGGAACACAAAAGTTAAGCCACTTGCCCCAGCCAGGTACAGAGGCAGGATTTAGACCCAGCGAACACAACAGCCCTTTCTTCTTCTAATTCTTAAAATAGTCCCTTAGTTGAAGACTAATTTCTGAGACATAAAAATGGAAGACCAGTAAGGAAAAATGCCCTGAATAATTTGGTATTGGCAGTCCAGCAGCACAGTTAGAAATTCTGATTTTCCCAAACACATTTTTAGGCAAGGATACTGATAACGCCAAACATGAAATCAGAAACCCAACCCTCGTCCTGCCAGCCAGCAGGGTAATGGGGTGTCCTGGGTATAGATGAGGGAGGAGGCAACAGACTCCAGCTGTCCCCCTTCCCAAGTGAGTCCACTCTCCCCTCCGTTCTGTTTCCATGCTGGAAAATACAAGCATAAGAACAGGAGATGTGCGCCGCTGTCCAGGAGGAGAGGACAGAGCCTCACAGAATATGCCAGTAGGTTAGAAACCGCAAATAACCCACTGGAGACGAGTCACTGTAACAACTGAATGTTGGTCTTTTGTGGGATCTTCCCTTTCGTAAGCTGTGAGCACAGAGGCAGGGTGAGATGTCCATACCTTCCTTGGGGTGTTTATCCAGGCCAGGTGGCAGAAGTGGGAATCCACGGAGACCGCAACGACTTCACAGTTCACATCATGAAATTCATTCGCTTTGTCACTGAAGGCAACAATTTCTGTAGGGCACACAAAGGTGCTGGGCAAAAGGGCAAAGATTCTCATTAGAGAATTTAAAGACAAAGATTTAAACTCTAAAGAACCTGTTGTCCAGAAATTAGTTCTGTTTTCTTAAAAGTGAAAACTGGGTAAGCATCCTCACTGGACTCACCTTTCTAAGAACTGGACCCAAAGGGGGGTGGGCGGGTGGGGGTTTAGACACAGAACACATATTCTAAGAAAAAATTTTATTTAAATAAATTAGCTTTATAAGAAAATCCACTTTATTATTTTTACTTTTCTCATTTTCCTCTAGACCAATAAAAAGGCCGAGGCCAGCTGATAGGAGCTACTGCTCCAGAGTCCACAAAACAGAACCCAAATAAAACCCTATCCCCGGAGGGAAGGCCAGATCGTTCCCCAAGATCGTCGCTTGCAAACTGGTCGCAGATGCAAGCTGTGTAATCAACAAGGCCACCAGGGATACCCAGTCAGAAAGAGCCCTTCCCTTGCCAAGAAAAACAGACCATTTTGGCATGGAAGCAGGGACCTTGCTCGTTCTCAGAATACTAAAGCGCCACAGGAATTACACTTACAAATCCAAAGGGTAGAAGAAGAGCACCAAGTACTTCCCCTTAAAGTCATCAAGGCTCAGGTCTTTGAACTCTCCATTGACAACAGCTGTGCCCTTAAAGTAGGGCGCATGCTCGGTGACAGCAGGAGCGTGGTATGAGGAACCTGGGGGGAAAACACTCACGTATAGTTAATTTGCTATTGATTTGCAGCAAATCATTCCCAGAAATGTTTTTCAACTCCAGGGTAGTAAACTTGTGAAACTTTTTTAGACCACTGCACCCAAAATCAAGCACCTATTTGATTTTATTTAAACCTCTCAAAATAGTGAATGAAATTAATTAGTTCAGTTTCCGTTTCAGTTCATGGCCTCCGAGAAGTCTCAGCATCATCCCCGTGATGGCCTGAGTTCGATCCCCAACCAGGGAGCTACTCACATGGTGCAGTAGACCTCTCCTGTCTCCCCGCTGCTCCCCTCAGCAGTGTATTTCAATAATTCACCTGTTCTGCTCCCCACTGTCTCTGGTACCCCCTGCACCTCTGGCCTGCACCCCAGTTCTTGTATGCATAAATGAAATAAATATAAAAACAAGTTTCCATTCAATGTTACATCTCAGGTACTCTTTTCTTTCTGCAGTTCTAGATTGTACATAAATCCAATTTAAAGTGCTATGGAAACCACAGAGACGACAGTAGATAGTAGGGATGGAATTAAGGAAGACGTGAGAATGGAGATGGAGTCTAAATATGGTTTGGATTTTGTCAAGTCCAGATGGCTCGGGGCAAAGAAGATGGAGGAACAGGGCACAGCTGATCTGGAGAGAGAGTACGTGTGTGGAAGAAAGGCGCGTGGGAGAGAAAGCAAGAATGGCTGACAGTCATGCTGTGAAGGCCCTTAAATATCAGGCTGACGAGTCTGTTCTTAAAATGAGAGATAATGAAGTCACTGGAGGTTTTCACGTAGGCGATGGAAGATGAGTCGACTGTTCTTAGGCAGATTAAGTCTGGCAGGGGATGGTAGGAGGTGATTTCACTTATCAGAGTCAGAGGTACAGAGGGAAGGGGTGTGGCAGAGACTGGAAGAAAGGAAAGGATGCAAGAGAAGTGTGAGAATTGCAAAGGACTTGCTTCTCCCTGGGAACTCGGAATGCAGGAGATCACAGGTCAGAATGCCTGGGCCTCAAAACAAGAAGAGAGCTGTGGGGGAAGGGCGTTGGGATGGGTGACAAGAAAAACTGATACCCTGGCATCAAATCACCCCTAGAAATGATTTTCAACTCCAGGGTAATAAAACTGTGAAACATGTATAACACTGCCCCCAAAACAAAGGCTTTGCATTTGCATTTAGAAACCATGACATGCTTTCTAAAAGAGTGGGACAAATCTAAAATAGGCATTTTCAAATACCACTCCTCTGAGGCTGATCTTAGCAAAGCCCACATTCTGGAGAAAGGGACATAAACCTCAAGAAATAACTACGCCTCATGCAGATCACGGAGGAGTCTATGAGATGATCTGTGCTCACAGGGGTGGGCCCAAAGCCATTACAGGAGCTAGTCTCAGCACCCTATTATCCCACACCCCTTCACACACAGCAACCAAGAAGACATGACATGAGAAGAGTTCGCCTGTGTTTCTCAACCCAGGCTGCACATTAGAACCACCTGGTTTCCCCTCAGGGATTGACTTCATTTGTCTGGAGTGGGAATGGTGCGGGGGTATGGTTTTAAAAGCTCGCAGGTAAGTCAAATGCGCAGGCGGTGTTCAGAGTCCCTGTCCAGAGATGACGCATATTTCCATTACCTGGGTCAAACCAAGGCAGAACAACACTTACTGGTGCTAAAGGCAAATTTTGCTTGACTGGAACCAGACCATAATACATTGGTCAAGCACGGTCTTCGAGAAGCAGCAGGCCTGAGGGCTGCAGAGGCAGAAATGCCCCAAGGAATAGCACTCACATGTCGGGCAACCTGCAAAAAGAAACACCTCATATTAGGGAGCAGTCCCACAATGGTGGTTGAAGGCTGGTCCACGGAAAGGGCATCTTCAGGGTCCTCGATCCTGTGGCCCAAGTACCAAAACTGAAACTCTGAAAGCACGGAATTGAGTCTCTACATTCTTAGTATTTCCTTGTTTTTATTTTCTAGACTGCAGGGAACACGGTGATTGGAAGATACGGCCCAAGGGTACAAAGCTGTAGTTATGCAGGATGAGTAAGTCTGCACAATGACTATACTTAATAGTACCATAGTGAGCACTGAAAACATACCATCACGCACCAAAAGATGGTAACTTTGTGGAGATGTTACCGAGCTTTACCGTAATAATCATTTCACTACATATATGGAGACCAAATCACCGTGTTGTACCCTTCTCAAACAATTTTTATTAAAAAGATATGTTAAAAAATAAAAAGACTACAAGGTGGCAGGGAACTTTAAGACTCCATGCTCTTAAGAACAACACAGAAGGTTCAAAAACCAAGGGGCCTTGGTCAGGCCTTCACCAGCCTGGTCTTCGGAGCAATTTCTACTATGTCAAGGTCTTCCTTAGAGAAGACAAGGCCTTTTCATCCCTACGACAAGCACACAAGTAGAGCAAAGTTCAGCCTCTGGGAAAGCCTGGACAGGGCTCAAGGGAAATATTTGCTCGACCTTGGCATCAAGCATTACTCAAGGGCCCACACCGAACCGCTAAGAGCGAGGGGGGAGCGAGAGGCACCGGGGCGCGAGGCTCGGCCTGCAGGAGACGGCGGGGTGGACCCCGAGGCGGACCCGGGGTGGGGGGGCGGGGACAAGCGCTGCAGCACCTGGCACGTGGGTTTCCCCCCCGCACCTGGCGCACGCTCCAGCAGCGCCTGCGGCCGTCATTCCGTCTCGGGGCTCGGAAAGGCGAAGGCACCTGTCCGAGGTGCGGACCTCGGCCCGGGCGCCGCTGCAGGCCCGGGTCGGCGCCGGCCCGCGGGGAGGGGGAGGGGAGGGCAGGGGAGGGGAGGGGCGGTCTGCGCAGGCGCAGGGGCGCCCTGGGACGGGCCCGCGGACCCGTCAGGCGCTGACAGCCGCCGGGGGCGAAAGGCCGCAGGGGCGCGGGATCCTGTCTGGGACGCCCGTTCCCGGGGCCCCCGCGGTGTCTCCGTGCCTGCGCCCCGCTCGCGGCCACTCACCGAAGCCCGCAGCAACCTTCCCGCCGCGGCCGCCGCCATCTTCAGTGCGCGCGGGAGCCGCGGGGCCGACGGAGACGCGGAGGGGGCGGGGCCATCGGAGGGCGGGGCCATACGAGGGGGGAGCAGTGGAGGGGCGGGGCCCAGCGAGGGGCGGGGCCACAGGGGCGTGGTCTCTGGGCGCGGGGCGGGGCCGGGCGGAGCCACACCTCCCACCCCGGGGGACCCTTTTGGAGTAAACGTCCCGCAGTTCCTATTGGGACAGGGAAATTGCCATTGTAACTTCTGAGACATTAAATACTTGGGAAAGGGATATTTTGACTATTTTTCGACTAATCCAACTGTATCAAGTTGATAACCTAAGAACATTTTGTTCTAAGGTATGTGTCTTAGAATATGTTGTATTGATAGCAAGTTACAAGGTTTTTCCATTTAAATTATTTAACCTTTTTTTCAAGCAAATCATTTTTAAAAAGTGAGTTAACTGAAAGAAAATAGTGAATAATATGCAGGTGATATGCAGACTCAAGAAACTATGTGGGTAATGGAATGACTGGAAAATAGTCAAGTGTCTGCAATTTATCACATTTACCATAATGTCACTTTGAGATTTTTATTTGTTTGATGCTTGCTTTAGAGTACCGTGCTCGCCACCCCGGCTCTTGTGTGCATAAATAAAAATAAATCTTAAAAAAAATTAATTTCCTGTTGTGTGAATGTTACCTCCATTTGGTTTGTTATTGACAAACGACATTTATTGTGAGCTTACCATGGGCGGTCTCTAGGCTGAGTGAGGTATCCCTTGGATCGTCACCATACCCTGTGAAACAGTTACCATTTTTATTTCTTTCCCCCAGCCCCCAGTTAACATCTGTAATTCGTCACCCTCATTTCATAGATGGGATACTGAGGGTGGGTGAGTTGCCCAAACACTCACAGCTGGAAAGGGAAGGCACAGGGCTCTAAAGCCCAGAAGCTGACTGCAGAGCTCCCCTTCTGCAGTATTTTTGGAGTATAATGGCTTGTTGGGGCTTGATAGGAGGTCGGGGTGAGTAGTGACGCTCTATCCTTCAGTGGAATATCCCCAAATACTCTGCTCCCGGGCCTGACAGGGTGCTCCCCTTTGAAACATTCCATACTCTCCACTACTTTCTCAACCTTTCCAGGCTCTCTCTGCTCTGGTCTCCCTGCTGAGCTTGTGGGAGGCAGCCGCCCTCTTAGATGTGACAACCCAAGATACCTCCAGACTTTGCCAAATGTCCCCTGGGAGACAAAATCACCCCCAGTTGACAAAAGACTGCTCGATGGCTAATGACACAAGTTTTGGAGCCAATAGGAGATGGAATCAAATCCCTGGTCTGCACCTGTCATTTTTTTTTAAGATTTATTTATTGGGCCTCCCCAGTGGAGCAGCAGTTGAGCGCTGGGTTGCAAAGCTGCCCGCAGCCTCTGCGGCGCCGGTTGGATCCCCGGCTGCTCCCTGGCCACGGGAGGAGGGTCCCACATGGCGCGCAGACCTCTCCTGCCGCGCTCTGTTCCCCGCTCTGGCTCTGGTGAATTCTCTCACTCTCCCGTGCTTCTGACTATACCCAGTGCTTGTATAAACAAACAAACAAATAAATAAATAAATCTTTAAAAAAAAAGATTTATTTATTTATGCATACAAGGACTGGGACGTAAGCTGGGGGGTGGGGGTGGGGGTGAGAGGATTCACCAGAGAGAGTGGGGAATAGAACTGGTGGATCTACTGACATACAGTGAGGGGAGCAGCAGGCGAGCCAGGAGAGGTCTGCTGCACCATGTGGGTTGCTCCCTGGCTGGCCAGGGATGGAACTCTTGCTGCAGTGGCTTGTGATAGCTGGATAGCGCTGTCCTTAGCCCTTGCACCACCAGGGAGGCCCTCTGCACTTGTCATTTTGGAGGGTAGGCGGTGTGGCCGACAGACTGGTGGCATCACCAGACCCTCCAGGAAGACTGCAAGGGGCCTGGGCAGGAAGGCCAGGGCCCTACACTAGCCCAGGAATCTGCACACACTTAGCACAGGCTGCACGTACACACTGTGTGACTAATGATATGATCTCTTAAAACTAAAACTCTTGCTTTAAACTGAGAATCCTGATAAGACCCGAAGGAGTGCCAGGGTCAAGATAATCAGGAGGCTGATAAGTTCTGGGGGCTGAACAGCTGAACATGACAAATGCCAGGAGCATCCACTGTGACGGGCTGTTCTGATGGGCTGTTCTTGTGACCATCTTTGTCTAACCCGTTAATGAAAAGGCCAGCTCGAGATGAGATGGCAGAATGGTTTCTTCAGGGTGCTATACCCATGGTTCTGCCATATCAGGGGCCGCAGATCTGAAAAATAGCAGTGCTTATAGATTGAATTCCTGTCTCTGCTTGCTGGCATCTGCAGTGACAGACAGCAGAACCGGGTCTCATTCCAGTGTCAAGAGCGATGGCTTAACTTTTCTACACATTCGTTTACACATCTGTAAAAGGAGAACAATCATAGTATTGCCTCAAAGCATTAGCTGTTAGCAGTGAGATAATGCAGAGAAAATGTCTAGGGGTACATGGCCCTCAGGGAGTGTTAAACAGATACTAGTTACTATTAATATTTTCCTCACAAGGCACATGCTAAGTTTTTGAACCACTGACAAAGACTTTGTTTCTTTGTTTTTTTTTTAAGATTTATTTATTTATGCATACAAGAGCTGGGTTACAGGTGGTGAGAGGATTTACCAGAGTGGGGACAGAACAGGTGGATTGACCGAGATACACTGCTGAGGGGAGCAGCGGGGGAGGTCTGCCGCATCACGTGGGTCACCTTCCTGGCTGGGGATAGAACTCATGCAGCAGTGGCTGCGGATAGCTTCATAGTGCTGCGACTTAACCCCTTGTGCCGCCAGGGAAGCCCTGGCAAAGACTGAATACACTCTGGTTTTTGCAAAGTGACAGGGTTCCTCCTCCTCCTTCCATTCCGGAGTGACCATGAGACTCTGCTGATGTCCTAACAAGCTCAAGTTGGGCTCTTCTGGCAGCCCCAGGGGCACGAAGACCAGGAAAGGAAGATCCCAGGTACCTGCCAGCCCACAACAGCTTCATTCCTCCTTCCTGTCCTGCTCCTGGGTTTTGTTCTTTCTCATAAAACTTGACTTTTTTTCTTTTAAGTCTAACTATAAGGAATAAGGGCGACCCCATGGTAAGCCATTTATCAGACCACTGCTGCCTGAAATCGGTTTTAACTATGATTAGAATGAAAGTTTGCCCTTTCCTAAGATGGATGCATATTTCAGTTTCTCACTCTTGGGGGATCCAATCATTTGGAACAATTTTGGGTGGTTCCTTTTGTCAGATGGAAATGTAACAGGGGGGTCCCCAGGAAAGGGGGAGGTTCCAGGTTTCCTGCCCCACCCAAGGGAGGGTGGAGCTGAGCAGGGAGAGAAGAAGCTGCAGAGGAGACTGAGGAAGGAAGCAGGATGGAGCCAGAAGGAGACCTGGAGGAGGCGCATGGAGCCTAGAGACACGTGAAGAAACTGCGCTTGCCTTTTGGTCGTGGACTGGGTGACACAGATGTGGGTGAGACCCGTGGGGAGGTGACCATGGCGGTTTTTGTCTTGATTTTTGATTTTGCTCTGTTCCTCCCAGATTTGTCTCATATGTTTTGTGTTGATGCGGCGGATGGCAGCACCTATTTAGAGCAGGCAGGTTTGCAGGGTCTAGGCTGCCCCTCTCCTGCTCTGTAACAGATTGAGTTACCCTCCTCAGTATTAACTTGGGCCAGGCACTTGTAATGTTTTCTTTTTAACACGTGGTTTCATTTTTACCTTTAGAACCAGTTCTGTGTGTATTTGTTGCCTTGTCCCTTCAGCTAAGGCAAACTAGGACATTTTGTAAATTGTATCCCTGTGAACCCCAACCAGGCCACGGTCTGTGTTCCCATCAGCATTTCAGGTATGCTCAACAAAGCCTTACTGTTTTCCTTATGCCAACAGCAGCCCAATTCCCAGCTTGTTTGGCCACTGGAGAGGAAGTCTCACTGCTTATCGCTTCTTTTCCAAACAGGAAGCCAAGAGTTGCCTCTGGCTCAAGAGCTGGCTGCAAGTCCTATCAGGGTTCCTGGGCTTAGGGGCCATCAGAACAGAGCTCTCCAGCAAACAGGGTGGTCTCCTGCTCTGCTGACCTGTCTAAAAGCCAGTCTCCAGGCCTCCCTGGTGGCACAAGGGGTTAAGCAACACACTATGAAGCAATCTGCAGCCTCTGCAGGATGAGTTTGATCCCTGGCCAGGGAGCAACCCACATGGTGCAGCAGACCTCCCCTGTCTCGCCCGCTGCTCCTCTCAGCAGTATATTTCAGTGCGTATGCCTATTCTGTTTCCCACTCTGTCTCTGGTGAATCCTTTCACCACCCGCCCCCCCCCCCCACACCTGCATCTCTGGACTGTACCTCAGCTCTTCTATGCATAAATAAATAAATCTTTAAAAAATTTTTAAAAAAAGCCAGTCTCCCTTGACCCAATGGGAATGAAATACCTAGAATCTCAGACCCAGAGGCCCAGAAGGAATTTAATGGAGGAGTCTTCCAATGGACTGTTCAGAGTTATAGAGGGAGCGGCCTCTTTCTGAGGCTGTAAAGGGAGATATCCCCACGAAGGACCGGCAGAGCCCTTCATAACCTCCAAGAGAAGAGACCATGATGGATCCCCAAATCAACACTTCTCCACGAAGCCGCCCCGACACCTCTGGCATCGCCCAAGCTCCAGAGCCCTCCCCCGTGCCCAGAGAGCCATCTGCCCAGGTCTTTCTCATTCTCATAGTTCTTGCCATATCACCCTGGAACTTTCTATTGTCTTGTCTAGGTCTTAACCATACTGGGAACTCCCTGAGGATATAGCTCACGTCTTATTCATCTCTGTGCTCCCAAGGCTAGGCTAACGCCTGGCTCACAGCAACTACTAAGAAAAAGATTGTCAAATGAATGAATAAGCTGTGGCTGACATGGTGGCCAAAGTGTTCTTTCCATACTCATTCTGGAAAAAAAATCTTTTTATTTAGCTTCTTCTAGCTGTCACAATAAGGAA